GGGGTTACCAAGCCGGATTTGGAGCCTTTTTGAGCCAAGAGCCACTTGGCTGTGGTTGTCAAAACCAATGGGATCCCATTTTGGGGTAGGTGCACCACCCATTTTAGTCTGTTTTTTGTGGGGATTGGGATGTTCACTTGGTACGATTTGGATTTTGACCCATGGCCACTTGTGTTCTTTCGGAGCGCCGAGATCTTTGATTTGAGCATGAGCTGCGGAAGTCTTCACTGGACCGGCTGACGTGGGGCGGTGCGTTGCCGAGGGACCTTTGAACGGGCCCTAAGCCGGGGCAACGAGCATGGCGTTTTGTCTTGTCCTTGCTTATGCTCCCATGTTGGCTAATCCTCATCTGCACATTGCAGATATCTTGGGTGACTCGTGGGACTCGTGTCTCCAGCTTTTTTTTGACGCAAGTAATTAGGGAGTTCTGCGCCAGACCGTCAATCCACAAGGCCACAAAGTGCGCCTCGAGGCAAGACCCATTGTTCGCATTTCGCGTCTCGTCTCATTGCCATGCCTCTACGCTTGAGTCAGACAAAGATGAGTCAACTCCTGCTTCTTGACCCAGAACATGCTGAGAGCACGTCGCCGTGTTGAGGCATTTGTCAGTGTACCCTGCGCTGTGGGCATCGAGTGCATCGCTGCCAGGACATGCCAAAAACCAACAGCATGGAGCGGCTTGGTCCGAGAGCTGTGACTCCATGGTCCGCTAAAAGGGGAACAAGGCAGATATTTTTCCCATTTGGATTTGGCCAGTCGATGGGATGACGTGTTGAGACAGACAGATATGAAGCATACCCTGCATGAAGCATCACGCCTTCCTGAATTTCTCATTGGTATTGGCTCCTAGCTCAAGTTCAGTGCACGGATTTATTGAGGATTCACAAGAGACTTCAAAGTCATGCTACTAGCAAGGGCCAGACCCACGAAGATGTGAACTCACCGCACGGCATGGTTGCAATTCTGTCTAGGATTCGCACACAGCCTGCAAAACCATGTTCTAGCAGTCGAGTTCATGTCAGTCCCAATATGCGGGCACTGGCTACACTTCAAAGGAGTTTCTTCATTTCAGCTCCATGCAAGTTAAGCCCATTTTGCTGTTGCCAGAGCGCGTCTTCTCAGGTCTCTTTCTGCCAGAAGGTCCCGCATGTTGCAGTGATCCACTTACCATTGGTGATAGCCAATACTGTGGATGGCCAGAAAGCCTGCACCACCTAAGATACCCTGGACTAATGGTTCCCCTGCAAATGCCAGCATTTCAAAGTGATGCGAACGGATTTCGTGAATCCGCAGTAGTAAGTTGCAATGTCATCCCTAGAGGGCGTGGTCTCACGGTTTGATTCCCCACGGTTTGCGCATGGTCATGTCACGATAAACGCGATGGTGCTTTTGTGGCTGAACCGCGCCTTCGGCTTGAGGCACCTCATGAGTGACATTGACAGCGGCTGAGAGAAGCGCAGATGAGGGAGAGGGGGTTGCAGACCTGCCATGATTCCGTGGTGTGTGTGTGTGGCTGTTTCACATGTCAAGCCCTTGGATCATAGTCACAGCTTCCTTTTGTTCTTGTCACCTGTGCCCGAGGCGATTTGTCAGCCCATGCTACAGATTGTAAGCTCCGAAAATCTTGGCAAAGCACCGAAGGCTGGCAGAGTGGACCTGTCCAATTGCCCGTAGTCCTTTCCCCAGTCTGCTTCCTCCTCCTGATTCCCTCCACTGCACTTAGTCAATGAGACCGTGATGGTCTCCTGTAGAGGCCCGGGGGCCATGGGGTGATGCCTCTGTACCGACAGGATGCTTTTTCGTTGTGTTGAAAGGGTCCAATTAGAATTCATTTTGCCGAGTCCACAGTTTTTGTTGGACTGTCATATGAGTCTCCGACAAAATCATCTGCGTCGCTAGTCGGGGCGCCTTACTTAGGGTTCGCAAAATCAGCAGACCGCAAAACCGAGAGACGTCCACCCAAAGCTGATACCTTCTTTGTAGCCTGAAAATACAAAAGAAACGATGGGGGACCACCCAACTTCATGGCATCGCGTCTGAAGGATTTTTGTCCGCTCGACCCAAAAGGCGGGATGAGTTTGACACCGGCCCTCCATCGCAGCTCCCTCACAGCGGGTTGTTTATCCAGATCCAACTTGGCTGAAAGCGGCGCCTTTTGAGATACCGGATTGCGGCAAGGGTCGGACCCCCAGATTAAGGAGCAGCAAGGCTTTCGGCGCGACCTATGATCCACCTGCAAGCAGCTGGCATTGCCATAGATTCAATATGACTAAGTGGGCTACCAGTTTTTTCCATGTTCATTTCAAGGAGTATGGCTTGATTTCGGTCCCGTGAGGCAAAGAGGGTTCTGCATGAACATGTTTGGTTCGAAGTGTAAGAGGCACTGCTCCTCCGGCATGGATGCAGACCATATGAGGCCGTTTCTTGGCCTGAAAAGGACGCGCAAGACGAAGAAGTTTGGCATGGGCGGAAGCGAATGTCCGTCAACTCGAAGGAGCGCGACTAAGTAGTCAGAATGGGCTGGATTTAGCCCGCATCAGCGAAAGATGTGCCTTGGGCAAAAGTATGATGTACACTTTATCTTTGCAGGGCCTCACGTGCATGGCCTTGCGGGGTTTCCAAACTCACATGCGGTTCAAATATGCGCTGCGGTTGGCAAGAATCCTTTGTGCCATTTGAAGGTGGAGCGTCCATCGCGTTTCCAAAGCGTCAACTCCGGTTTCCTGGGTGGTGAACGAGTTCCACTCGCAACGATAGGAAAGCGTAGCGGGCACATCATGCCAAGACTTGTCCCAGCTGGCCTCAGGGGGGTTCCGGATGGTTCAAGCGTCAGCGGGGATCTTTGGTGGGCTTGGTATCCACTTTGCTGTGCGGATGACTGGCAACCCTTCAGTGCAGGAGCGGCTCCGGGAGCGTGGCACGCGACAAGACCGTGTTGATCTAAGAAGCTGTAGGCCAAAGGCAAATTCCACTAGTGAGGAATTGATCCATTTGAAGGCTTCTTTGGTTTAAAAGACGTTGCTTTGGAGGCGAGCTTAGATTTGAAGGTTGGAGGGGTCTTTTTGGCGGAGACACTTTTTGGGATTGTCTCAAAGGGACAAGCAAAGGGAACCAACCATGTTGGAGACTTGACTCCACCATTTTGAGACACACCTCATGTCTTGTTTCCCTCGTTGGTCAGATGTGCCCGACTGGTGTTGAACAGAAGCGGGACCTTTCATGGCGGAGGACAAGCCGGAGGAGAAGTCGTTAATGTTGTTTTTCGAAGCCATGGCACCCGTGGGGTATTTGCCCTATTAGGCCTGCAACGCTAGGTATAGGCAGGGACTGGCGGTGCTGTGTGAGTCAGTGTTTGGATTTTCAAGTGGTATGCTTTTCAAAGATCAATGAGATTCCCCACTTGCAATCCATTCTTTCGAGGACGGAGATGCTGAGATGAGATGCTGAGATGCTGAGATGCTGAGATGCTGAGATGCTGGCCGGGCCGAGGGTTCAAGACGTCCAAAAATACGAAAAATAACCACTTGCACCGGCCTCAGCTTCACACACCCCACACAGCAAGCACACACACGCACCGAGTTTGAGGGAACTCTCGCTGCGAACGCCACTCCTCCAGTGAATTTGGAGGCCGGGTGATGGAAATGGGCCCATGCACGCCTCGGTGCGGTTGCATTGCAACTTATTTTTACGATATCCATGCCAGGACACAAGTTTGTTGCGCCTTTTCTGATGGAGCAGCATCAAGTCCGGGCCCACGATACTCGAAATTATTGCATTTCTTTATGCTTGTGAGTGAAGGAGAGGGCAAGAGCTAAATGAGGAAATGGCAGCTTCTTCTTGCTTTCACCGGCATCTTTTCGGGCCGTTCAGTGGTGCAAACATTCCTGTAGTCAGTGTAGTAAAACCTTCCTTTCCCTACCCCAACCTATTAATCGAACAAGTTGAGTGTTCCGACTAGCTTGTGGAGATGCACACGTGTGGGAGATTGCACGCGACCATTTTTGCCTCTTGACACATGCCCACAGCATCCATGTTAGGAAGGGACAAAGTTCACTCTGTTCCCTGCCATCAGAGAAGCCTTCCGCGCAGACTGGCTGCGCGGCCATTGAATGACTTCGCCCAGCCAATCCAATGAGTGCCGCCCTCGAAGTTACACGTCTTGAGCTCTATGTCCAGCTGCGATTTTGCATGGTGTTGTAGTTGTAGTCCTATGTTCCAAGATGGTTTCCAGTACCCCAACAACACAACCCCCAGGGCAAATTGGGGGTTTGGATCCGTTTGGGGCTAGTGAGCACCATCGAACTGATATTTCAACGTGATGCTCTTTCAAACTGAATGGTGATACAGCTGTGTCGCCGTGATCGAGGGTCATCTCCATTTTTTTCTGGTCATGGAATTGTCGCTGTGGTTGCTGCATTGTGCTCCTTTCAGTCGTGTGGGACTGTTTTCGTGATTTGTCGCTGTTGTAGCTCAAGTGACGTTGTTGTTCTAGTTTGGCTGTTTGGTTTCCGGGCTGTTTGCATTAGCGGTGTGGCAGCCTGGTGCTCTTGTTGTTTTGTCGCAGTCGTCATTGTCACTATCAGCAGTCTTCTCCGACTTTGATGCCATCCTTTCTGATGTTTGTATTTTTGTTTGGTTGGTTGGCTTGCTGGCTGTTTGGTTGGTTGGCTGGCTGGCTGGTCGGTTTGTTTGGTTGTTTGTTTGTTTGTTTGTTTGTTTGTTTGTTGTTGGTGGGTGGTGGTTGGTTCGGTTGGTTGGTTGGTTGGTTGGTTGGTTGGTTGGTTGGTTGGTTGGTTGGTTGGTTGGTTGGTTGGTTGGTTGGTTGGTTGGTTGGTTGGTTGGTTGGTTGGTTGGTTGGTTGGTTGGTTGGTTGGTTGGTTGCCGGGTTGGTTTGGTTGGTTGGTTGGTTGGTTGGTTGGTTGCTTGCTTGCTTGCTTGCTTGCTTGCTTGCTTGGTTGGTTGGTTGGTTGGTTGGTTGGTTGGTTGGTTGGTTGGTTGGTTGGTTGGTTGGTTGTGTTGGTTGTGTTTGTTTGGTTGTTTGTTTGTTTTGTTTTGTTTTGTTTGTTGGTTGGCGTTTTTGCTTGTCTGGTTTGTTTGGCGTCGGTTGGTTTGCTTTGGTTTGCTTCTGTCTTTTTTGTTTGTTGTTTGTTTGTTTGTTTGTTTGTTGGTTGCTTGCTTGCTTGCTTGGTTGGTTGGTTGGTTGGTTGGTTGGTTGGTTGGTTGTGTGCTTGTTTGCTTGTTTGCTTGTTTGCTTGTTTGCTTGTTTGCTTGTTGGTTGGTTGCTTGCTTGCTTGCTTGCTTGCTTGGTTGGTTGGTTGGTTGGTTGGTTGGTTGGTCAATGCAGCCAGAAGAAGCTTGCATGCTCTCTGAGGTCTGGTGATTGTCGACAGACCTGCACAGGCCGGTGTGAAGCCATCGGACATCGGACACCGGCCGGGCGGATGCCTTCGCTGGTCATCCTCAGAGATCTCTGCGGAGGTGAACAGTGAACCTTTCTGCTTGTACGGACCATGGCCACATCTTCACTTTTTGCTTGGGTCCCGTGCCAATGCTCAAATCAACTGGTCACCATTCAGGTGTCACGGGATTGCCAAAGCCTCGCAATCTCCCGTGACATGGGGTGGGAGGTTCAAGGTCTGCGTTTCCTTCTTTGTCCGCCAGGTGTTGGCTGGGTGACCTTTGATCCTGACCGGCAGAAACAGCTGGCCCATCAAGCCGATGGCTGCTTGGCTGGTTGGGGCTGAGGGCTTGATTGACAGGAGCCGGGTGGATTGCTGCAGTGCACCCCCACAAGGCGAAAACCGCATCAAGCGTGTGTGTGTGTGTGTGTGTGTGATTTTTGGCCGGGCGGTCTACCGTTTCTAGCTGTTGAAGAGCTTTTGCTGTTTCGCTGTCGGTTTTCACAGAGGGGCATGTGGCCGGTGGTGACGCCTGCAACAGCTTTCGATATGGTGTCGTTTTGGGGTTTGACCACACAAACATGGCTATATGAACGCTGGCAGAGGGCCTCGGCTTGCACAGCACCTGTTCGAAGCTGATTTTTGATGCTTAATTAACCACCCCACCAGTCGTTGGCCCAGATGCCTGGTTAGCGCGAAGCAAATGTCGTGCATTCTGAGGAGCACGTTGGATGAATCAGATGTGTGATCTGTTCCTCGTAGCTAAATCTGCTTTGGCCGGATTTTCGGCCAATCAGTTTCTTGCCCTGTGGCAGAGTTTGGGCAACCACTGCAACGCACAAGCCTTTCTTGCTGGACAGCTGGTGGCCGTGTCGCTCTTGGCGAGACTTCTGAGAGCATTGCCCGAGGCGGAGCCATGGCGATGCCGGAGGTGCGATGTATTGGCTGGCTCCCCAGACAGGGCGTTGGTCTTTCTCAAAAGAGTTGCCGCTCTATGGGGACTGACATGGAATGTGGGATGCCTGCAGGGTGTCAGCGTGACGCCTTCGATGTGCTCGAAGTAGTTGTTCTTTGCCCCCTTTGGCAATGTTGGATTTTGAAGCACAACACTCTTTTGTGCCCTGAGCTGCCCTAGCTCCAGCATTTCATTGGTTCTTACGAGCTCCGGCGCCCAAAGACTGCCACAAGCCTACCTCCGCGCAAGAGAAGGCCAGCCCTTGTGCAACATGTTTGTTTCCCTGAGCACACCTCACATCAACTCAACACCAAGACACCAATACATTTGGCCATGGATCAAAAGCCCGTACCCCCAGTGAACATCCCAATCCCCACTAAAATAGACTAAAATGGGTGGTGCACCTACCCCAAAATGGCACCGTTGGTTTTGACCCACAGCCAATTGATCTATGGTCAATGTCCCGCCACCAGTCATTCCGCCCTGATCCGAAACTGCTGATACTTGGCCACATTGCGATCTCGCATCTAAGAAGAACTCGCCGAGCCACGCTTTGCTTGGGATGCTTTGAGGCTTTGCTTTGGCATCCGCTTTGAAACCTATGAATCCTGGCGAAACAGCTTGGCCTGCTCTTTTTCTGGCCAGCAGAAAATGGCCAACGGCACGGGAAAGCTTGCCTGGAACGTCACACTGATCAGGGTCTGCATGACGTTGTGGAGCCGTGGTTTGATATGGGGCCCGGGGTAGCATGCCTTGCCTGAGCTTGGCTCCTCTACTCTGACTTGAAACTTCGCAGAAGCTGCGTGATGCGTCCGGCAAAGCATCCCAATCGTCCGGATTAAGTGTACGTGCGCCTCGGCGGGCGCGTGCAATGATACCATGTGTTCAAAGTGGGCAGCGAAGGGAAACCACTTGCTTGCAGGGGTGGCGGAAGCCATGATCTCCACCTGTGCTGCCCATCAAACAGCTCTTGATCAGCTTACATGCTGATTTTGGGCGCGGCCGAAACGGGCCCTTTTTGGGTGGTCCTTGTCTGGATTGACACACCCATTTGTCGAGTGTGACCACTCTTTCTGTGAACCAAACCTCAAGCCTATTGAAGGAAGCAGCCTAGGCGACAAGGACTTTGTTTCAAGCGCCAGGGCAGATGACATGGAAATCCAGCTTTCCCGCCTGTGCGGTCTTCTTGTGCTTCCTCGACGCGCAATCTCGCGCGGCTCTTGCGCCTCTTGTGCCTAGGTCGAAGTACCGCTGGCGCGGGGCCCTGGAGTCGGCGGCGGAGAGGGGTGGAGCAAGTTGAGACGGGGAGCGGCTTGACGACTCCTGGAATTCCAAGGAGAGTTGCTTGACAGAAGCCACCGATGTGAGCCTTGCTTTGAAGAAGCTTGGCGGAACAGTAGTAAGCAATGGAGAGCAGCGGGGCAATTGTTTTCTTCTTGCAGCTGGAAGATGCATGGCTTCATCGCATGGCCACACTGAGAAGACAAATGGGTTGGATGCTTCGGCCGAAAGGGCTGCAGGCAGTTTTTTGGTGGCAGCCTCATTTTTCTTGATTGGCAAACGGGCGCCACAAGGGGCAAGCTGTGAATTTTGATAGCATGTTGGACCATAGTATGCACTACCTCGTATCCTGGCAGCTTCCTTGGTTCTTTTGCAAGCTCAACCGGCTATGACAGCAGCAAGGCACTCAATGCATATTGTCTTCATTGAACCTCCCACCAATTAACATGGAACCTGACGTTGGGGGGGGTTCCTGGTTTGGACCATGTTCCTTTGAAAGGGACCCCCTGTCAGGTTCGATGTTAATTCCTGGTGGCTCCCAGCCATCCCCTTAGCCTTTTTAGCTTTTTAGTGTTGAGTGGTAGTTTCCATGTAACTCGCTAAAGGTTAAACTTTTAGCGGGGGATCTTAGGGCAGAATTGGTGGGAGGGTAATTGCCCACAACCCCCACTTGCCCCACTTGCCCATTTGTCACACTGGTGGCCTCAGGTGATCCGCGGACGGAAGGCTGGATGCAGGCTGCGTGCCCAGATGTGCGCCATCTCACCGAGAGATCAGCTGTTCTTTTAAAGGGGCAGTGACGTACTTAGTAAGTGGTTAGTAAGTGTGGGTATCACCCAGTTAGGAAACTTATAACCATGGCAAGGGGGTTATAGCCATGTTTGTTGCCCACTTACTAAGAATTTAAGGTGTTTTTTTGTTGTTTCTGAGTGGTTGGAAGGAACCCGCCGGTCGATTTTTCAGCCAGATCCATTGACTTCCCGAGGCCCTGCAGCTGCTCTTTGCGCCTTCGATTGTGTTTTAACAGGGCTCCTTAAAAGATACATTTTGCCCATTTGAAACATGGCTTTTTCCAGCAAAATACAGGGAAACCACCATTTACAAAGCAATGCTCAGGTGGATCCATTGTAAGGATCCCTGTTTAAGACCCACCTTTGGCTGGTGCAGCACCTGGTTATAAGAGCAATCCCCTTGGTCTCATCAGCCTCTAGTTTTTGGAAGTTGGATCCATGGATTTTGTTTCACTTGTTTCTCCGAAGCACCACAGAAAGCATGGATTGAAGGGGACGGGCCTCGGAATCTGATGATTCGGAGGTTTTTCCTGGAGTCTGTCAACAGGCTGATTCTTGGGGTATTCTTTTGGTTCCCCCCCCCCCCCCGCCTTTCCACCCTGAGGGAGGACCCCTGGCGCGCTTAGGTGGACGCCCATACCTGGGCGCTGATTTGCGGGGGCAGGCTGCGAACCGTGCACAGGCAGGGGGGCCCAGGCCAGTGTTGTCCCAAAACCGAGAATCTCCCTCTTTTGAAGTCTCCACACTCTGAACATCGATAGGGGCCATCCAACTTCTTTGTGTTGAGTTGAGTAAGGGACTAAAGTCAGCGACTCGACATGGGTTTGTCTCAAAGTGGGACCGCGGAGGGAATATAGCTGTGGTTTCGTTCACCCTTGCGTACGGCAACCTTCGGGCCCTCTCTCAAAGGAAGATGGCTGGTGCGGCAGAAACAAGTTTCATGGAGTGCCATGGAGGCCTGCGATCTGAAATTCCCAGTTGTGGACGTTTGGAGTCTTCTCGGAGACTTGGGGGAGTGTAAGGCATGGAGTTTGGTCACACATTTTGGTGGCTGGTGAAGCAAGCAGAAAAGACCATACTGTATATAGCATGTCATATTCAATTCTATCTTTGAGGGCATGTGTGAGCTTGCATGTCTTGAATCGTGACGGCAGCGTTTTGAGCCTTAAGGGTATGCCAGATTTCACGAAATCTTCAGCTCTTACACAACAGCCTTCTGTGGTGAACGTTGTCAGCCTCGTGCAGAGGCGACAAGGCCAGCTGACAACTTTCAGCTCACAAGGCTGCTAGGTGTTTTTTTTTTTGTTTACCTTCCCTCGGAGTTTTTCAGAGTTCAAAGTTTCAGCCAATGAGTATCCTGGAGGAGGCTAGGGGGACGTGAAAGTGTTCTTTCAAGGTGAAAAGGAGGCTCATGGGATGGTCCTGCTAGGGCTTATTGCAACCTTTTTCTGTGCGCTCGAGGCCTAGGCTAGTTTCCGTTTGGCGCAACGGGCGCTGCGGCACTGGGGTCGGGGGGGCATCATATCTTTTTGGCCTGGCATGAAAGCAGTGATACTTGGGGCCTGCGGAGTGAGCTTGAGAGCAGCCTTCTTCTGAAAGTTGTCAGAGAGCCCCTTGCCGGGTTGATCGGCTTGAGTGCCAGACGAGGTCAGACGTGCTTTGTTAAGCTAACTTGTAGTACATGTCGTCAGTGATGCTAAAAGTTTGCAAAGCCGGACGAGGAGTTGGTGTTTGCAACAGCCTCCTGCAGAGAACGGACGAGAGCGACGTGGACGCGACCTCCAAGACGGCGGATCAGCTGTGGATGGTTTTTGACGTACGTATGCCTATAGACACATATATATATATATATAGATGTATATATAGTTATATTTGTGTATCTATTTTTGCATCAGTGCATATTTTAAGACGTATATTCAGTGATTGTTTCGTACCAGAGCCCAACCCCAATGATGACCAAGGCCAGGAGACTCGGAAGCAGAGCTGCCGCTGTGGCAGTGCGAAGGCGCGGTGCTCGGAAACAAAGTGAGGAAGCTCAGGTTGCAAACCCGTTCTTGGCGCAACCCTGCTTTCTGTTTGCATCTTTTTGCCGGCATATATTTCGTTAAACTTGTTTTTGTGGCGCGCAAGCGGCTTACGGCACGGTGCTGCTCGTTTCTCTTGCAGGCAAGGCCATGTCACTCGACAGCAAGCGCGCGTGTGTTGCTTCTTCGGCTCAGCACACCGCATCCCTGTCACCATGCTGTCCCAGTAATTCAAGAGGATGAACCGCTAATGGAGAAGACTCTGGTTTTCCACCCCTGCAACCCAAACCACCAATCCCTCAAACGCCCCTAGTAGACTATCAGGTTTGAATCAGGGATGTGAGATACAGATGAATGAGATGCAAGATCTGAGTGGAGGTGTAGAATAGCAGGATCGAAGTGCCTCTGCACAAGAGTATCGTCTTGGAGGAGTATCGTTTTGGACTACACCTCGCCAATTCATTACTGATGGGTTCGCTCACTGCTGGAATGTCACGTTTTGTTTCTTTCATTGCGCCGTAAGGCTTCGTAGAACGGACATGGCACAGCGCTTTTCAGCCGAGAAGGGTAGCTTCTGCCAAAAAGGACTGCACCGGGTTGCATTTCCCATCCTTTCAGGTTTCAAGCTTAAAGGTTTGGGTTATATCACCCAGCATTAGCCATGAGTCATAACTGCTGGTCTAGATCCTCTTGGCGAGGTGGTGGTGGTCCAAAATCCGACTGATTGGGTCAAAGTGGCACGTGCAGGAGTCAGCTTTCGCATCGAGCGCATGCCGCCAATTCAAAATCCTCCAGCTCCAAAGGAGGCGACCGGCAAGAGGAACTCAGGGCTGGGATGGGCGGCCGGTTTTCTTGCTGCGAGGGGCGCGTTATTTTTGTTCGGAAGGCAACCAGGAGCAGTCAACCTGGCCGAGACCGTTGTTTGCATTGGGGATCCTGTATTTTGATCTGTGAAACTTGTACATAACAGTGCTGCTTGTTGTTCTCCGATGTCTCCGCTAGCTTGTCTCGGACCCTTCCAAGTGTTTTGTTGGAAAGCGGGGTTTGGGTTTTGACACACTTCCAGTGGTTTGTCTTGTTCATGGTTTGGCTTTGGATTGAAGGAGGTAAGACAACTTGCCAACTTCCTTTGGGGACACAACATGTATCATCTCGTCGTTGGAGAAGCTGCCGTGACTGAATCGCAGAGTTGCTTCCGGCAGCTCTGGGCACTAGACTAGTGCCGCTTGGGGCTTGCAAGCTGCGTTTTCCATAAGGAGCGCGAGGGCTCGTGTCAAAACAGACGAACAAGCATGTACGCTGTACGGCATGCAATGCAGCAAGATCAGCCAAGCAGCCAAGGCAGCAGCACTTGTGGCGCTTGGGGAAAAACAACCAGGGAAGCTGGGATTGTTGTCAAAAGGTCTGGGACCAAAGATTCACGCCATGTTTCACCTGGCATCTCATGGCCTTTCTGACAAAAGGTGCTCTGAGTCATGGGGTTTGGAAGGAAGGCAGTGCTTGAGAGCTAGACACGACACGAGACACACCCTGCACCTAAACGCTCAGAGCCCAGCACAAAATGAACCCTGCAGACCTCATAGTTGAGGACCTCATAGTTGAATAGATGTTCGTGCGGCATGCGCGGCGACCATGGACATAGAGTGGCTTTGCCCTCTCACAGAGGGAGCTTTGTTTGGCTTGTCAGACTGTCTCACAAGCAACCAACTGAACTAGGACACAGTTTGGATCAAAGATGGTGGAAGGCTTCCATTGCGTGGGCAGGCATTGTACTCAGCATCCCTTTCTCGGAATAAACAGTATGTTGGCCTTCAGCTGAGGCTGTTAGAGTTGCCATCACTCAACTGCCCACTGGTCCGCGTAGCTTTGCAAGTACTCCAAATGACGAGTTTCGGCCGTTTCAGGCTGTTCACAGGCAAAGTCATGGCAGAGACTATCCAGTCATTCGCCAACAGAGTTCACCACGCGCAAGGACATCGCTAATCATCACGCACCAGGGCCATGTCCCGATCAAATTCTCGTTGACCCCTGGAAGCCAGATCGTTTGATTTTTTTTCAGGGCCTCTGACATGAAGCGTTTTTTTTTTCTTTTTTGCTCAGAGCGGGTGGAACCCTGGAGCGTTTGGAAGCCTCGTCGAGCGGAAGAAACGGACAACTCGAAGCAAGGCCCCGCCTGAGGCTCCGGAGCCTCAGCCGAACGCGCAGGCGCTTGGGGTGTTTGGGAGCCAGAGCTTTTGAACATTTGCCCAAAGCTGCGGGGATAGGTGTTCATAGGTAATCAAACTTCATCGGTGCATTGGTGTTCATCTGAGGTTCATATAAGTTTTTTTTTCAAGGTTCATTGGATTTCATTGGTTCTTTTTAAGGTTCCCAACGTCTTGTGGGCAACAACTTGGGCGCCACATGCTCCCGAGGGACGTAGCTCTTCAGGAGCTTGGAAGGGGTTGACATCTTGTCTTAAAGAGTGGGGAACGGAGGCCATCCTGTTCAACGAAAGCGTTCTTAAATCAAAGTGTGTACATGCCGTCCCTATAAAAGGGGACTTTGAAGCACTGTAGTACGACCAATGTCAACCTCGAGAAGATCTTCCCATGGGCCAAGCAAAAACCGCTCTTTGTCAACTCGCGCAATTAACCCTGCGAAGCCAAGAGGTTCAGGAAGACGCTCCTGGGCATCGGGCTTCTTCTTCTTGTTGTGCTGTTGCTGTTGCTGTTGCTGTTGCTGTTGCTGTGGTGGTGGTTGTGGTGATGCTGCTTGCTGTTGCTGTTGCTGTTGCTGTTGTTGTGCTGTTGCTGTTGCTGTTGCTGTTGCTGTTGCTGTTGCTGTTGCTGTTGCTGTTGCTGTTGCTGTTGCTGTGGTGGTGGTGGTGGTGGTGGTGGTGGTGGTGGTGGTGGTGGTGGTGGAGATGCTGATTGCTGTTGCTGTTGCTGTTGTTGTGCTGTTGCTGTTGCTGTTGCTGTTGCTGTTGCTGTTGCTGTTGCTGTGGTGGTGGTGGTGGTGGTGGTGGTGGTGGTGGTGGTGATGCTGATTGCTGTTGCTGTTGCTGTTGCTGTTGTTGTGCTGTTGCTGTTGCTGTTGCTGTTGCTGTTGCTGTTGCTGTTGCTGTTGCTGTTGCTGTTGCTGTTGCTGTTGCTGTTGCTGTTGCTGTTGCTGTGGTGGTGGTGGTGGTGGTGGTGGTGGTGGTGGTGGTGGTGGTGGTGGTGATGCTGATTGCTGTTGCTGTTGCTGTTGCTGTTGTTGTGCTGTTGCTGTTGCTGTTGCTGTTGCTGTGGTGGTGGTGGTGGTGGTGATGCTGATTGCTGTTGCTGTTGCTGTTGCTGTGGTGGTGGTGGTGGTGGTGGTGGTGGTGGTGGTGGTGGTGGTGATGCTGATTGTGGTGGTGGTGATGCTGATTGCTGTTGCTGTTGCTGTTGCTGTTGCTGTAGAGGTGGTGGTGGTGGTGGTGGTGGTGGTGGTGGTGATGCTGATTGCTGTTGCTGTTGCTGTTGCTGTGGTGGTGGTGGTGGTGGTGATGCTGATTGCTGTTGCTGTTGCTGTTGCTGTTGCTGTGGTGGTGGTGGTGGTGGTGGTGGTGGTGGTGGTGGTGGTGATGCTGATTGCTGTTGCTGTTGCTGTTGCTGTTGCTTTTGCTGTTGCTGTTGCTGTTGCTGTGGTGGTGGTTGTGGTGGTGGTGATGCTGATTGCTGTTGCTGTTGCTGTTGCTGTTGCTGTTGCTGTTGCTGTTGCGCTTGCTGTTGCTGTTGCTGTTGCTGTTGCTGTTGCTGTTGCTGTGGTGGTGGCGGTGGTGGTGGTGGTGGTGGTGATGCTGATTGCTGTTGCTGTTGCTGTTGCTGTTGCTGTTGCTGTTGCTGTTGCTGTTGCTGTTGCTGTTGCTGTTGCTGTTGCTGTTGCTGTTGCTGTTGCTGTTGCTGTTGCTGTTGCTGTTGCTGTTGCTGTTGCTGTTGCTGTTGCTGTTGCTGTTGCTGTTGTTGCTGTTGCTGTTGCTGTTGCTGTTGCTGTTGCTGTTGCTGTTGCTGTTGCTGTTGCTGTTGCTGTTGCTGTTGCTGTTGCTGTTGCTGTTGCTGTTGCTGTTGCTGTTGCTGTTGCTGTTGCTGTTGCTGTTGCTGTTGCTGTTGCTGTTGCTGTTGCTGTTGCTGTTGCTGTGGTGGTGGTGGTGGTGATGCTGATTGTGGTGGTGGTGATGCTGATTGTGGTGGTGGTGATGCTGATTGTGGTGGTGGGCTGATTGTGGTGGTGGGCTGATTGTGGTGGTGGTGGTGGTGATGCTGATTGTGGTGGTGGTGGTGATGCTGATTGTGGTGTCTGTGGTTGTTGTGTTGTTGTGGCCGTTGCCGTTGTAGGGTTGTGGTTATTTATGGTTATGATCTTTCCATTTTCAAAATCAGTTGTCCTGCTTGAGGGAGAGATGGTGGTAGAAGCAACCAGGAGCACATCAAGTTCTGTTTGGTCGGCGTCAGGTTTGCATTCCTCAGCCAAAACGCATGTCATTCTTTTGTGCCGTTGACGAGGGAGTCCGCCAGCGCCGTGTCATGAGAACTTGACCTTTGTTTGGAAGGATCAAACAAGTAACGGTTTCTGTTGCCATAGCAAGCTTGGAAGGGTTAGCCAACCAAGCTGGACCTTGGTGCAATGATTGGATGTGAAATGGATTTGTTCTTGTCATGCATTGAGCGTGGATGGTATACTTGAACAAAGAAAGCTGCTGGCATTGCGAGGCTCGGCACAAAGAGCCTGAAGTGGAAGAGGCGGATTTAGAGGACTGCCTCAGTGCGCGTGGCTCAGAAGTGCTGGGATGGGTTGAGTGGTCAGCGCTGGTCGCTGATGATAGAGGGTATTTCTCGTATTTGCTAGATTGTTCGCAACATGCCTGATGTCAAACAGCCCATGGTCGTGGCCCATGATGGCTTGTTCGCGGGGCTGGCCACAATGAGCGCGACTTGAATGGGTAAACTGAAGCCACCGCCTGGCTCTCAGAGATCAGTTGCTGGGCCCAAACTTCGCGCGATTCCGCACCGATTTGCCAGGACACTGGCGTTTCAGCTCGTTTATATTGCATATTGCTTGGTGGAAATGCCAACATCACGCTGAGTAGTATGACTTTGGGCGAAGTGGTCAGCCCAGATTCCCAAGGTCGCACGAGTTGATGTGACCTGAGCAAGCTAATTGGCCACACCCACACAAGAACTCGATGCGAAGGACTCTTCCGTACAAATGCACGCCTATATTATTTGAGATACTCTCAGGAGACATGGCTGTGTGTCAAAACCAATGGTACCATTTTGGGGTAGGTGCACCACCCATTTCAGCCCATTTTAGTGGGGATTGGGATGTTCACTGGGGGTACGGGGTTTGACCCATGGCCACATGTGTTAAGCTTTTGTGGATGAAATCGGCATCGGCATGATGAGTAAGACACACACACACATTCGCACACATCGCAGACAGCTTTTAAGGAGAAGCATTTGACGATGTCCACGATCCGAAGCCCATGATCAAACTTTTACTTAAAGGTAGTACATGCTGGCTGTAGACATGTTTTTAAAGACAAGCGTTCATGCATGCCATACATGTATTTGTCCAATGTTGGAATTTCCCTTTCCCCAAAACATGGGTTTTCTTTTGGGATTCCCCTTCACAAACATGGGGGTTGCTTCACCAGGGCCACCCGGAAGAACCGACAAAGATCCCATGGCATCGCAGGACATCCTGATGGGCGCTGCTCGCGGCGCGCAAGCCGTGGCTTCCCGTGGCGCGCCAAGTGGTGGTGACTGATGCAGCAGCTGGCAAAAACAATCTGAGCCGGAGCATTTCGCAGGTCCAGGGTTCCATTTCTTGCATAACTTATTGACGATTGTCTTAGGCGTCCATTTGTTGAAGTGCATAGCCTTTCTCCAACCACACAGAGGGAACCCCGCAAAGGAAAGTAGTCTTCCAGAACGCTCCTGACAGATTTCATGGGGACTATGCTGTATTTTCCCCGGTTGGCTTTAAAGGGAATTGAATCCACCACTGGAAAATAGTTTCTCGTTTTTTTCCAGGCTGGGTGACTGGGGGAACGGCTTGGCGACCATAAATCTAAGAGTGTTTCCACCACCAGCCCTGGGCCCTCGATAGGACAACCATGCACCCAGTTTTCCCCAAATGATTTCCACTAGCGGGTCAATTGAAAATCATACCGAATCATACCCAGGTAGCACATTGGAATTGGGCAAAAGGCTCGTGAATCTAAGATAGTTTCCACCAAACCCATGTCTGGGGAAAATTGGGTACATGGTTCTCCTCTCAACATTTTCAGGGGTGGTCGTGGACACCTTCTTATATGCCATGGTTGTCAAGCCTGTCCCGCACCTAAGACGGGCAAATGCAGCATGAAATGTAAGTCCACTACAACCACCATTTTGAAGCCACTTGACAACCAAAGGTCACCGTGGCATCCGGATCCCTTTGGGAACAACAAGCCCCAAGAAAACTTGGCTGGGCTGACGCGAGAAGAAAACAAGCCTAAAATCGCCCAGTAGACGTCCTGCTTCCGACGTAGTCACACGTTCGGCTTGGCCGGCGGGCGTCCATTCTCAAAAGGCTCACACAGGTCTTGGCCCCTCACCCCTTGCGTTTTCTGGAGCCATGAACAGTAGTGCCCGAGGAAGAAAACGTTTTGCACACATGCCCCAGGTCTGCAAAATCACCGACTTTCGAGAAACTGGGATTTCTGCATTGATAGCTCGGGCTGTCAAATTGGAGGACCCTGGACATCTTGCACACCTTGTCAGACCCCCTGGAAGAAAACTGCCATGGTCAATGTTACGGGCCAGACTCCGATACAAAATCGGGCGTGAAGAAAACAAAGCGACATTTTGACCCGGAACGCAAGACCACTGTGCCGCATGGTTTTCCGACCGGGACAGCTGCTATTTCTACGGCAACCTCCATCCGCTTCGCTCCTCGCTTGCTCCTGAGGGTGGGCGGAAGTCCCAAGACTTGTGAATCAAATGCCCTTTCCAAGTTCGGGGTTTGCTTGCCATACCCATGCTGGTCATGCCACACGGGACGTCGGAGTCTCTGCCGGCCTCGGGACCCGAGGTGCGCGGACCATTGTCACGTTCTGGGGTTCGGAGCGCCAGGAACCCCAGGCCCAAAGAGATGCAATTCGAAGGCAAGATTCGAATTGGCGTGGCAACAGGTCGAACATGAATCCCACGGATGTAGGCGGCATGGTTTTTTGGTGGGGCTCTGGTTTCAATTTGCTCCTGCCATTTTCTGTCCCAGGTTGGGTGCCCATGACATTGCTTCTCACATTAATCATTAAGTTCCTCGTGCCTCCGTGGATTAGTGTCCGGGTGCACGAGCTTTTGGAACCTGACAGCTTGTCAGCGGATCTTGAACCAGTGACCGCGATTTGCTCACCTCAATGGGATGCCAATTAGCAAGTGCTTTGGAAGCTTGGAGGAGAGCAGCCAGAGTTTAGGTGTCGAAAAAACACCTCCAAATATCGACAGGAAGACAGCATTGTGCAGCACCACAACACGCCCCTCACTCATTCCACCTTCCGTGGCTTTGCGAGCGAATCCCTGCAGAAATCCCACATCAATCAGTCTAGCGTTGGACGGGGGATGCAGCTGGAAGCAACACGCACTCCGCTAGAAAGGTGCACCCCGAAGCATGGGGAAAAATGCGAGGCACTTGTCCTTACTGGGCATGGTTACGGATACTCAACTGTGGTTTGCAGCTGTCATCGCAAGGATTCCTCTTGAGGGCATCATGTCCATGAACTCCATGAAGAGCTTGACCCTGCCTTCCATGACAGGCTTCCCTTTGGTCTCAACAAAATCAAGCGCTAGCCTCAACAAAGACCCAGGCACCAGCGAGAGCCGAGGCAAGACGCCGCTTGCCCCGGGCAGCTTCGCTTTGGACGTTGCCAAAGCTTCAGGGAAGATCTGTGCCCAGGCGGGATCTCTGAACCGATCTGAAGCCTCTGCGTGGGAGGCTTCTGGTTCCCCTGAATTGTTGGCAAAGACGCCGCGGCCAACCTGGTTTTGGCAGAGGTGAAGTCAACGAAGGAAAGGGAGGATAGTAGGTCTGTCCAGACATGAGAAGAATCAGCAGGGTATAACATGTTCAGGTGACAATGGAAGTGAGATGTAAAGCATTCAAGTGGAGAGGTCTGAGTCGTGCGAGTCTTGCTTCAAATTGGGCACCGTGTTGCACGAGCCAAGTGAGTGCCACGGGGCTCTTCTCGTGCCACTGGCTCCCTGGTGCGAATGTCAAGGCTTCAGGTGTGGGACCTCGGCCTTTCTTGTTCAAACAAGGTGCAACTTTGAGTGGAAACATCCTCGAAATCATCTTTCCTGGTGGGCTTTCAAGGAGTGGTGGCTGTGCAGGAGCCGAGGATGTTCTTGAGGCGTAGCTAGAAATGCTTGCTTGCACTCCAGGCTGTAGGCAGCGCGGGCTATTTGGTGGCGCAATAGGGGCGATAGTAGACATGCTCGAGCATTCCTGCCCGCCTCTCGCCCTCCATGCGGGGGCGAACAGCCCCACTCGCGCGCAGGCAGAAAAAATCACCCGAAGATCTGTGGAGCAGGTGGGTTTTTGTTTTGACATGTTTGATCTGAAGGGCATGTAAGCGCTTCGGTTGATGCCTTGCCAGGTTGAGTTGTGTCATGCCTGGCATTCAAACCGCACAGAATAGTGATATCAGCTCGGTGCTTTGCCTCCCATTCCACATCTCCCTTCAAACATTCTTGACTCTCAAGACGTTCGCAAGTAATTATAGTCTTAATTGCCATGTCCTTGAATCTACGATGGAAGAGGAACGAGAGGGTCCCCTCTTTTTCTCTCAGAGAATGGGAAGACCTTGTTGAGTTGCAAGGATCCAGAAGTGGCTGGCGTGACATGGCTCTGTTTTTCAACCGAAATGTAACCACCCATTTTCAGGGTGCCTCATTTGGAGACAAGCATGTCAGATTCCAGAGCCTTGCATGTGCAGGCACCTCTTTTGTCGGGTAGAGGATGCGTTGTCATGATTGTCACGATAACTGGTGGTGATGCTGAGGATGCGTAGTGATGATTATCATCAGGATGATGATGATGATGATGATGATGATGATGATGATGATGATGATGATGATGATGATGATGCTGGACATGATGATGAGCATGATTATGAAAATGATGATGATGACCATCACGTTCATCATCCAAACCGTGGCGCTCTTCTTTTTATATACGGTTCAAGTGTGCCGTTAGACCCGACTGGAAATGCAGAGGATGCGTTGTCCTGATTGTCCTGATAAGTGCTTTTGCTCGTGAAGACAGATGCGGCTAGAATGTGTCTTTTTCGGAGGCGAGGTGCCTAGCATGGTTTCGTTCCGAAGGTGGTCAGATTCAACACCAGAGTTGGTATACAAGTGGTTGTTCTGTTGATTGACATGTACACTTTGCGCTTTCTGTTTGGCATGAGTTGGTGCAAGATTTGTCACTCATGGATGGATTCCACTGGTTTCAGTTTGGCTCTTGTGAAACACCCATCCATTTTGCCTCGATCAAGCAGGACATGGGGCGCTCCAGTCGCACCGGCAGAAACGTCCCAGTCGCTGATCCGAGCGATTCGCCTTTCGGCTTTCGGCTTTCGCCAGGCTGGGCAGGTGGTGTTTTTCCCCTTTCGCCAGCGGCTCGGGGGCCAGCTTGGAAGGCGGAGGCTATAGATAGATCTAAATATGTTTTCCTTTAAAATAAAATAAAATAGAATCAACTAATAAAGCTACACATTCTCCTTGTGCGATGGGATGGGGTGGGGGTGGGCGGGGGGGGGGGGGAAACACATCCAGTACCAACGGGCGACGAGCAATGGAGCACAGGGCCTTGGGCGAGCGTCAGGTGGCTGTTGCACGGTGCTGTTTTTGGGAAGCCTTCAATAGTGCGCTTCCGATTTGCTGGGTGTGATTTGCACAACATCTTCTTTTAAGGAGGTATCCTCGAGGATGTTGGTATAGGGAGGAAAGGGACATGCCGCATATGTTTTCAACATTTCGTTTGCAACTGTACCTCACAATGCCTTCAACGTTAGAAGTGCACGATTGTTTTCGAATTGAGCTTGCTTCTCGGATCACCCAGCAGTTCCATTTGTCAAGTCTTTGCAAGCACTTTTCACACACCAAAAGCCAGGACATGATGATTGAGGAAACCAATAAAAGCCAAGACATTAACAACATATTTTGGTTAGATAATTTTCAAAATATAGAATGAGACAGATGCAACGTGAAAAAAAACCTCTCTCTCTCTCTCTCTCTATGTGCCATGGGCTTTGGCCTAGGCTTCGTGGGTGCCTGGGGAGCGTGCGAGGCCCCAGCTAGCGGAGAATATGCCGCCTCCCAAAGCAGGAGGAGACATTTGCCCCAGGCGATTCCATGGAAGCTCCCGAACGGACCCCGAAATGGAAGACTTGGTTCCATTCGCAGAGGGAGAGCTTCCGGCTGTTAGCCTGAGGGAGTGTAGACCTGTGATTGCGCAGGTGCCTTTCGCATGGTTTCGGGAAACCAGCAGCTGTACCTGGCGCTTTGGGTTGTTTACCGTTTGACAATAGTTTTCAACAATATTCATGTTGATTTGCTGTCTTGAAAATGACGGCACACTTTTGTTCCGTTGAAGTTCCAAGCTCTCATGTTGATTCATAATTCACATCAACAACTACTTTGTTGTGTAACAAGCCCAGCGCGGGGTCACATCCTTCCTCGTTTTCGGTATTTTAGTGCACAGCACATATTCCAACTGCAAGGAACTTGTTTCTTCAGGCAATTCCAGGAGCTGCAAAGTGGCTGTTTCGGACAGGGATTTCCTCCTGACAGACGCAGGAATGTCTGCCAGGACGATGGAAGGCCTTTTGTCAAGCTTTGAAAGGGAGGCAGCCACCACCGATTGAGACTGTTGCATGGCCATTGTTCTGGCTACATGGCTCCGACTTTGGAACGGATCCAGGCAACAGGTTGTGCCGCTTCGAGTACGAGTGCTTTGTTTGTTTCCTTGCAAACCGTCCACGGGCTCTCTAACTTTGGCGCGCTATGCGAATATCCTTCTGGAACAGCTTCCTCACCGAAGGTCCAAAGAAATACAGAAGACCATCCCACCCAGTTGGCCAATCTATTGTTGAGGGCCACCCCAAATCCCGTAAGAGATACATCAAACTGCCGAGATGTTTCGCCTGAGGTCGGTGTTTTCCCTTTCCAACTTTTGAACCATCCCTCAAGAGCCACGATGGTCCCGCGGCGTGTTCTTGGCGCATGAGGCCGAAGCCACAAGACGAGTGAGCCGAGGGGTTCGGCGTGATGGCCAGAGCGATGCCCTGAGGTCCTGCCGGGGTACCTTGAACCGAGCGCCAAAACGTTTTTCCCAAAGTGGCGGTCTCAATCTGGGCGTGGGTCAAACAAAATATAGACCACCAGGAATTGGACCGCAGGTTTTGGTCCATGTATCCACTTACTAGGGTTCCATTTGGGGTACCTATTTTTGATCCACAGCCATATGAAGAAGAGCAATCCAAGCTAGTAACTTTGAGACCCGTCTCGAATGAACCCTGCAAGCTGTGAGTCTAACAGCCGGGGATGGCAAGCGGGTTTGCTTGATTGGGCAAATTGTTTTGGGCCATGAACCTTCTGCTGGGATCCTTGGCTTCCAGCTTCGGGGATGGCTGGATCCACCCTATATATATATATATATATGGTACAGCGTTGCCAGCCCCCCCCCTCCCCCCCCAATGGTCATGGGTCAGACAAGTACCCCCCCCCCCTGTGGTTGTGGTCCTGTGGTTGGGTTGTGGTGGTTTAGGGTTGGTTTAGAATTGGTTTAGGGTATATTTAGGGTGTATTTAGGGTTAGTTTAGGGTTGGTTCGGGGTTGATTTAGGTTGATTTATGTTGATTTAGGGTTGGTTTAGGTTTAGAGGTGTACGGTTTAGGGTTTGGTTTAGGGTTTGGTTTAGGGTTTGGTTTAGGGTTTGGTTTAGGGTTGGTTTAGGTTTAGGGTTTATTGTTTAGGGATTGGTTTAGGGTGTATTTGGGGTTAGTTTAGGGTTGGTTTAGGGTTAGTTTAGGGTTGGTTTATGTTGATTTAGGGTTGGTTTAGGTTTAGAGGTCTACTCTTTAGGGTTTGGTTTAGGGTGTATTTAGGGTTGGTTTAGGGTTAGTTTAGGGTGGGTTTATGGTTGGTTGCGGGTTGGCTTGTCCTGGGGGTGGGGGTGCCGGGGTGTCGGGGTGCGAGTTCAGGGGGTCGGGGTGGGGGTGGGACCGTAGGTGCCGGGATCCGGGGGCTCGGGGTCTTGGGCTGGGGGGGGGGTCCTGGGGGACCATACCATATGGGGGGGGGGGGGGGTAGCAACACGGAACACGGGACCATATATATATATATATATATGTATCTGGTGCAGCGTCCCTGGTCATGCATATAGGCCCCAGCCCTCATCGGACTGGGATCTTGTGAGTTGAATGAGGGCGTCAACCGCTCTCGGGCTCGGACACCGCCCTTTGACCAGCGGGTTTTTCTCCATGGTTGCATGTTGCATTAGAAGCACTTTGCTTCTCAAATCCCAGGCAACCTCTGCTACCTCTGCCTCTTTTAGAGCCCGCCCCGCCAAAGGGTATTGCCCTGGATAGTCAGGTGTTGAGACGATTCCAAGTCGGGGAGAACGTGAAACGCAAGGGCACTCAACAGCTAACAGGCCCGTTGATCGATGAAACACTTTCTTGCTGTATGTCAATGCGCATTTGATGGAGCACATCGCGCTTCGTTTCGAACGCATGCCAATTCCTCACTGTCACTTTGTTGCATTTTGCTTGGATGTTAGGACTTTGACTTTTTGCCAACTGATAGGTTTTCCATTAAACCACTAAAAATGAAACTTTTAGCAGGGGAGCAGACAGCGACCCTCCCCGGTACTCCGGGACCATCGACATCCATTTTGATTCCAAGCTGCAACGGCCATTGCTTCAGACTCGCCCTGGCCGGCTTCGGAAGGCATGGCTTGAGCCCGGTGTCCAAGGCCTTCAGATCCACGGCCAGTTGATGAGACTTGAGACCCTATGACTCATTTGGCTGCGGGTCAAAACCCAGGCAATTTCTGGTGAACGTCAAGACAGGTGGCCATTGGATGTTCATCCACCCCAAAATGGAGCCATAGGTTTGGCCCATGGCTTTGGATGCCCAGCCATGCTGTTTCGGAAGACCTTTCCGGGCCGCAAGATCAGCGTTGCGAACCAGCCCGTGCTAGTGGTTCGTCGTTCGTGAGCCATGGTCTCACTTTATGGCAGCATCCCAAAAGGCTGTGATGTGCAGACCCGACTTCCCTACCCTTGGTTAATCAAGTAAAGGACATTGCTTCGCGGTGCGCCGTGAAGCTTGTGGCATTTGTGTGTCATGCATGTCACTCCAATCTCAGCCTGTGTCATGCATTCTAATCTCAGGTCCACCTCCATGCACATGATATCTCTCAAGAGGAAACCTCCAAAAGAGATCCCCTTCCTCTGCTTCCTCCAATCATGGAAGCTGACGGCAAGGTTCGCGAAGACTACTTTCCTTTTGGGAGCCTCTCTGCCCACTTCTATGACTGTTGGAAAGAGAATAGTTTCCTCTTGGCTTCCCTATTGCCCAGAAGAGCCTCCAGAAAACTCACCCACATTCTGAGAGTGATACTCCATGCAAACTTGGACAGTTCGGGGCTTGAATGTTTTCAGCTAGACAACCTGAGCCGAATTCGCAGCTTTCATAGCGAGCCTCTCTTTTTTGAGGGTGGGGGGGTGGCGGGAAGGTGGTGCGTGCTGAACCTGCTTGGTGTTCAACGCGTTGTGTTGGGATGATCTGGCACTGGGATGTCGACGCAGAGAATTCCACTCAGTGGCTTCTCGTGTACAGCTTGGCTCAACAATTTTTGAACTGCGAGGCTGAGGTCAAGCAGTTCTTCGCAGATGCTCAAGCCTGTGACTGGAAGCCGTCATGAATCCAAGTGGAGGGTTGCCTGCTGTTGGCACACTCCCAATACGGAGGCCATGGAACCTGCCTCAGCCCCGCGGCCAAAATTTGGGCCCGACTGGCCGGCCCATGCTTGGTCCGGCGGTCCGCGATGTCTGGCGAAAAACGGCCGGGAGGCAACCCGAGGTGTGAATAGTCACTACGACCTCCGAAAGGATTCGGAGTATTTTGATTAAAACTCGATGGCACTGGCTCAGATGGGGTTTATTCCATTTACCAGGGCCATCTATTTTTCCGAAAGGCCACCTATGGCAACAAGTAGTCGCTCCTCAAGTGCCGACGCGCCGGTTTGCCAGATTTGTTCATGTTTCAGCATCGCGACTCTCCCCGCAGTTGGACCGTGGCACCTGTGAAGATCTAGATGTCAGGTTCCGAAAGTGCAGCCTGTCGGACTGAATCCTCAGCTTGAAGGTCGAGCCCCTTCGTTTGGCGAACACGGCCTATCGGTGGATCACTTGGGTTCCGGAGCCCCCGAAGCAAGCGGGTCTACTTCGGGGCATCCAGGCCGCTAGGCAGGAAGCCTTGATCACATACCCTTTTTTGAGGCCACCCATGTGAGAAGCTTTGACCGTGGAATCTATCCAGGCTGAATCTATGCAGGCTGTGCAGTTGCAAACGCACGTTCAATCGTTTGGGCGTTTCTCTTGCCATATATTTGTAAACTGGCTTTTGTTTCCTCTTGGCCTAGGGAACACGTGAACACGCAGGTTTTCTGACGGCGTTTTTGGCTCAAGGTAGCAGTGACTGCGCCCAAGGCTTTTGCAGGCACGAGATTCTGACCTGTTGAACGTTGGCAGGGTTGCTTGCTCAGTCGGTCATTTGTTCGGTGGAGTGCGTGTGTGTGTGTGTGTGTGTGTGTGTGTGTTCCAACTTCAACTTCATCCACTTACGGGACATGAGAGTACTGTTCTCCAAACGATCCTGCAGCGTGTGTGTGTGTGTGTGTGCGCGTGTGCGCATGTGCGCGTGTGCGCGTGTGCGCGTGTGCGCGTGCGCGTGCGCGTGTGTGCGCGCGCGAGCGCGTGCGCGTGCGCGTGCGCGTGCGCGTGCGCGTGCGCGTGTGCGTGTGCGTGTGCGGTTTTGGTTGAGCAGCTTTCTAGTTGTGTGATCTGTTGCTTAGGGGCTTCTTTGGTTTGGCACCAATCAACACACTGCACAAGATCTGTGCGGCAAGCGCCACTGAGACCTTGAAGCCTTTTTGTTGCGCAGGTGTCACCATGGTGAATATTCCCAAGACCCGCAACACCTACTGCCGAAAGTGCCGGAAGCACACCGGCCACAAGGCAAGGGGCCTCTGGTGTGTTGTGGCAGTGTGGGCTTGTTGCGTTTTGGGTCATTGGTTTGTTGCCGACTTGTACCAGGACAAGCTTGATTGCCAACATCTCAGCAGCCAAATTAAATTAGTCAACCCCCTTAGCCATTCACAACAGAACGCAACAGCAAGGGCTAGTATTGTTCTTAGCACGTGCTTATGACAGATACCAGTTGCCCGGTGGCGCTCGTTTTTCCTTTTTTGGGAAGGGTTCCTCCCATGGCCACTGGGCATGTGAGGATACATCGTCCGCCAAGCATGCGAATGGGACTGCCACGAGATGAGTCAAGGTGAAGTGGCTGCGGTTTTCGTGTTTCGTGGAGCCTGGGCAGGTGTCCCAGTACAAGACCGGCAAGGCGTCTCTGAGCGCGCAGGGAAAGAGACGGTACGACAAGAAGCAGGCTGGGGCGGCTCGCCGAGTGAGCGAGGGGCTGATGTCGCAAAGCGCGATTTCTGCTTTTGTGGGGATGTCAGATCCTTTGTTGCCGAAAGGTGGTTGATATAGGTTCTGCATATTTTATAGCGAGCTCACCGATCCGGGGGTACAATGAGCTCATCATGATAAAGGTCCTTGACTTGGGGATCCAATTCTCAATTCAGCTTTTGGAATTATAGTACAACTTGCAGATAGGTTCGTCTCTACAGTTGAGCTGGCAGTCGCATCTCTTGCAGATTTCGGCTTGTCATCTGTGCTCTCCGGGGGGGGGGGTACTCAGAGGACTGGGTATCAACCGGGGTCTGTGACGCCTCGAAGCCTTGGAGACGAGAGAACAGCGGCAGAGATCCACTTAAGCCTTTTGCAGGCGTTCAGCGTGACCAGTTCACCAAGTCAACCAAGAGAGTGCAGATCAACGACTGGGGCTTGTTTGTAGGTGCCAACCAAGTTTGAAATGTAGACGAGTTGGAAGGAAGCACCCAAACCGTGTGCGTGTCAAAGCGAAAGACTCCTTTCAGTCCAGTCTAAACGCAAAGCAATATAAATCTTAGATTTGGACATGTCCAACTGGCGCAGTCAGTGAGCTTGCTCAAACATTACGAGCCCCACGCCGTTTGATTGATTCATTGCCCCCCCACCCCCCCCCCCCAAAAAAAAAACAACCAATGCTCGTACGTTAGATTGATTCCTTGCCCTCCCCCCCCCCCCCCCTCAAAAAAAAAAAGCTCGTGCGTTAGATTGATTGATTCATTCCCCCCCCCCCCCGCTCCCCCCTCCCCCCCTGCCCCCCCAGAGGGTTCGCCGGGGACAAGACAAAGTCGCACGGCGCCACAGCGAGAGCGCTTCGACACGCACGATCTCCGCAGAGGGTTCGCCGAGGTCAAAACAAATTCGCACGGCGCCACAGCGAGAGCGCTTCGACACGCACGATCTCCGCAGAGGGTTCGCCGAGGTCAAGACAAATTCGCACGGCGCCACAGTGAGAGCGCTTCGACACGCACAATCTCCGCAGAGGGTTCGCCGGGGTCAGGACAAATTCGCACGGCGCCACAGCGAGAGCGCTTCGACACGCACGATCTCCGCATAGGGTTCGCCGAGGTTAAGACAAACTCACACGGCGCCACAGTGAGAGCGCTTCGACACGCACAATCTCCGCAGAGGGTTCGCCGGGGCCAAAACAAATTCGAACGGCGCCACAGCGAGAGCGCTTCGACACGCACAATCTTCGCAGAGGGTTCGCCGAGGTCAAGACAAATTCGCACGGCGCCACAGCGAGAGCGCTTCGACACGCACGCTCTCCGCAGAGGGTTCGCGTACGTACCCTTGCCAAAGAAAATGACCGACACGGCAAACAATTGTGAGAACACAAGGCTTTCCGAGACACTCATGAGGAACCTCCGAAGTAGCGGGGGTGAAACAACTGCAGCTGCGCGCTGGCGCGGAATTGCTTGACCTTCGGCCCTTTCCCTGAAGACACGTTCTTGCGACGCTCACACGTTGCTTTCTGAAATGGTCGTAGATAAAGATTGAAAACCCTCTGCAATACCAGAAACAAATTGTTCAACACCTCAGCCCAGAAGGTCACGGCCACAGGCCACAAGGCCTTGAACACAAACCCTATAGAAATCTAGCGTGGGCAACTAAGACCTGAACGGCTGCTTCCAAGAATGCGACGAAGTGTTGTCTGGTTGCCATTTGCGTGTCGACCGCAGTGCTCTTCCAAAGAGTCATGTAGATGACGTACAGGGCCGTCCAGCTAACCCCGCCTCGAGCTGCCAAAAGTAGACACCACTGCAGCAGGCTAACCTCCCAGCACATGGATGGGGTTGCAAAGAACCAGCGAGCTCGGCCAAGTTCTTCTGTGCTGCCCTGCGTGGCGAAGACTTTGTGATGCCCTGCTGGAAACGTTCTCTCGTCATGCACGTGCCTCCAACACCACGGGCCTCCGTAGACAGCACCACATGTTGCACACCGCAAAAAGACCACAATGCCGGTGCGAAGCCCGGTGGCGAAAGTCACACAAGTGCTTGGCCAGAGCTTCCATCGGAACAAAACGCCACCATCCAGCGAGCATGCGCCTTGGTTCCAAGCAGGCACGTACTCTGTGGGCAGCAGCAAAGCGTTCAGTCGGCTGCGCGGCTGCAGGCTGCTAGCAGGGGAAGCACGGTCTGTGATCCAGTGCGGGACATATAGCACGATGCGGTCTAGCACTGTCTGGATTTGTTCCTCAGTGAAGCTCTGCTGAAAGCGGGCGAGAAGCATTTCACGAGCAGCGCCTGGTCGAGCTGGAAGATCTGCTACATGGTAAACCAGGGCCAGCACACCCAAGTGCTCTGGCGCGAGCGGCGCCAGTAGCCGGTCCAGGGCCATATCACGTGGCGTGCAACAAAAGAAACGGAAAGCTACAGCTGAGGGTTTGGGCCACACAAAGAGAGTTTCTATCCCTGGCGGCTCACATGGCGGGCGCAAGCAAGAAGCACCAATGTCGCGCGCCACATTTTGGCTAGAAGGAAAGGCCTTGCTGTTGCTCGTGCCATCATGTGAATTATAAGCCGATCGCTGAGTTTGCCTTGCAAACATGGACACTGCATCATATAATATAGTACGGTCATGCCACGCAAATTCGCTATACTCCTGGACTCATATTATAGCTTAGCGTGCCAGCGCTAAGCTCCGAAGCCACCGTGGACGCCAGCGCCGGCAGGCAGGGCTAGGCCTGGTGCGGGCAAAGGAGGCGGGCTGGCAATTTGCGTCGGGGACACCTCATCTTGCGACAGAGCCAGCCCCCAAGACGTTAACGCCGTCTCCACAGCAGCAGCGCTCCACTCCTCCCACTCCACAACCGATGTTCTGGCTGGCTGCTCGGTCGAACTCACAGTCGTCGCCTTGTAGCGCTCATAGCTGGGAGTGCTACTGTCAGTCAAACCGAACAGACTCAGTAGGTGTTTCAGGATAGGCTGGTTGATGGCAGAGCATGCGTCGGCCTGGTCGGAAAGAGGCCGCTTGAAAAGTACCAGACTGGCCGGCCACCTCCTGGGGTTGGCAACGTGTGCACAAGCTTGCCGAGGTACACAGAGGCGAGCAGGGCGGACGCCGCAAGAGCTGCGAAGAAAGCCGCGCCGGCGCCTAACTGATGGCTTGATGGTTTGCTTGATTACATGATCCCCGGAAAGCATTGCGAAGGGTTCTTCAGGAAAGATCTGCGGCGGACTGCGCTAGCAAGTTGCGCTAGCAAGTTCCGTTCGCAAGTAGCGCTAGCGAGTTGCACTTGCACGTTGCATTAGCCAGTAGCACTAGCGAGTTGCACTGGGAAGTTGTGTTGGCCGGTTACATAAGAGGTTCCTTAGCGAGTTGCAGTCGCAAGTTGCATTAGCAAGTCGCACTGGCGAGTTGCCTTCGCAAGTCGCGCTAGCGAGTTGTCTTAGCAACTTGCATTGGCACGTAGCGCTGGCGGGTTGCGCTAGGAACCTAAATTGGCAGGTTACAGAAGAGGTTGCTTTAGCAAGCTACAACAGCAAGCTACGCAACAGATTTGCACGTGAGGTTTTCAGTGTACTACACTAGGTAAACATGTGTGCTAAGATTCTTTTGCGTTCGCGCATGAAAGACAGAATGTGAAGCTCGACAAGTAAAAATTACGCTTTGAAGGCGGCGGGCCGTGGTCAAGGTCAACAAACTGAGGACTTTTTGCGATTTCTGCGGTGCGCGCGCAGCCCTGTGCGGCGAACGGCGTGGTCGATGTCACTCATTCATTCATTCATTCATTCATTCATTCCTTCGTTCGTTCGTTCATTCATTCATTCATTCATTCATTCATTCATTCATGCGTTCATTCATTCATTCATTCATTCGTTCAGTGATGGATTGATTGATTGATTGATTGGCGCCCCCATGCCCCTCTCTGGCACCTTAGATTGATTCATTGCCCCCCCCCACCCCCCCCCCCCCTTTAAAAACAAATGCTCCTGCGTGAGATTGATTGATTCATTGCCCCCCGACCCCCCCGCCCCCCCCTCCCCCCCATTCGTAGATGGATGGGTTGCTTGATTGATTCATTGTTTAGTTGCTGGCCCCCCCATCACCTACCTCCCGGGCCATGCGTTCCTTTGTTTGCCGGTACAGTGTTCCCCGCCCTCCCCCCAAAAAAAGAAAGCTTCATTGATGATGGGTTGCTTGCTTGCTTAACTAACTGCCGGATTGATACATTGATTGACTGAGTGATTGATTTGTTGATTGATTGATTGATGTTGGATTGCTTGCTTGCTTGACTAACTGTCTGATAGATGATAGATGGATTGATTGATTGCTGGATTGATTGATTGACTGATTGACTCATTCATTCATTCATTCATTCGTTCATTCATTCCTTCATTCATTCATTCATTCTTTCATTCATTCATTCATTCATTCATTCATTCATTCATTCATTCATTCATTCATTCATTCATTCATTGATTGCTTGATGGATTGATTGATTAGTTGGTTGGTTGATTGATTGATTGATTGATTGATGGATTGCCCCCCCCCCTGCCCCACCCCCCCACCCCCATGCCCCTCTCTCGTGCGTTTGATTGATTGCTTGATTGAGTGATTGATTCATTGATTGATTGATTGATTGATTGATTGATTGATTGAAGTGACTGATTGATTGATTGATTGATTGATTGATTGATTGATTGATTGATTGATTGATTGGTTGGTTGATGGATTGATTGATTGAGTGATTGATTGATTGATTGATTGGCGCGCCCCCTGCCCCCCACCCCCCCCCCCCCATCCCCATGCCCCTCTCTCGCACGTTAGATTGATTCATTGCCCCACCCACCCCCCCGCCCTTTAAAAAAAAGGCTCGTGCGTTAGATTCATTGATTCATTGCCCCCCCCTCCCCCCCCCCCCCTCCCACCCATTCGTAGATGGATGGATTGCTTGATTGCTTGATTGATTCATTGTTTGGTTGCTGGCCCCCTCCCCCGTCACCCTACCTCCCCATGCCCCACTCTCGCGCGTGAGATTCATTCATGGCCCCTCCCCACAAACCCCCCCCCCCCCCCCTAAAAAAATATGCTCGTGCGTTAGATTCATTGATTCATTCCCCCCCCCCCCCCCCCCCCTCAACCCATGAGTAGATGGATGGGTGGCTTGATTGCTTGATTGATTCATTGTTTGGTTGCTGGCCCCTTCCCCCATCACCCTACCTTCCAGGCCATGCGTTCCTTTGTTTGCCGGTGCAGATTGAATGATTGTTTGATGAAATGGATTGATTCATTGATTGATTGATTGATTGATTGATTGATTGATTGATTGATTGATTGATTGATTGATTGATTGATTGATTGATTGCTTCAGTGATTTGATTGATGGATTGATGGATTGATGGATTGATTGATTCATTGATTGATTGATTGATTGATTGATTCATTGATTCATTCATTCATTGATTCATGGATGGATTGATGGAATGATGGATTGATTGATTGATTGATTGCTTAATTGATTGATTGATTGATTGAGTGACTGCGTGAGTGAGTGAGTGAGTGAGTAAGTGATTGAAGGATTGATTGATTCATTGATTGATTAATTGATTGATTGATTGATTGATTGATTGATTGATTGATTGATTGATTGATTGATTGATTGATTCAGTGAGTGAGTGATGAGTGATTGATTGATTGATTGATTGATTGATTGATTGATTGATTGATTGATTGATTCATTGGTGCCCCCCCTGCCCCCCCCCCTCCACATGCACCTCTCTCGTACGTTAGATTGATTGCCGGACCAATGTAACCGCCCGGGGTTCTTACTGTGCTCAAAGTGTCAGCTCAAAAACTATTGACCTTCCTGTTGTGCAGGCTGGTTTCGGTGGGCAGACGAAGCCTGTCTTCCACAAGAAGGCCGGGATCGCGACGTCCGAAGTCAATCCGACCCAGGAGGTAGTTGTGAGCTGCCAGGAATTGGTCCAAAGGGTTCGGCAAAAATAGAGACGCACCCCATATACATGTTGATATACATACGTATATATTATACATATTTGTATACCCTCCCACCGGTTAACATGGAACCTCATGTTCGGGACCCGGTCCCTGTAAAGGAAACTGGTCTTCCAGGCCCCTCCTGTCAGGTTCCATGTTCATTGGTGGGAGGGTATATGTATATCTATATACGTAGTCGATGCTGGCACGGAAGCAGATGGGGTATGTCTCAAAATGAAGAAGATCCATTTGGGACCCCCTTTGGGCCCCTGATTTTTGAGATGGGTTTCCAGGTGTTGTCACCTCTCTCCCTGAGCAATAGAACCTTTTACCGTGAGCCACAAACACATGCGGGTTGGGACAAGTCGGCATTACCAACCTGGCCAAAGGTTCTTAAGAAGAAGCCCCATGGCGACTCGTTTGCCCTGCTTGCAAACTCGGGATGTACCGGTGAGAGAGTGGCCCATCCGCCCTTGTCCTGACGCCAAACTGCCTGGCTGAGGCCAAGACTACCAAGAAGATTGTGCTGAAGTTCGAGTGCACCAAGTGCAAGGCCTGCTTTGCCTGTTGGCCTGCCATCCACGCTATTTGTTAGGCCATTTCCAGGATGTTCAATGCGGCTCAGACTGGACCCTTCAGTTGATCTTCCTGGCTTCGGGTTAATTAATGCTTCAAGTTTATCAGCCCAAGGGCTGTGGGGGTTGCCTTCGGCTTACTCTGCCAATATTCCTCGCGAGAATCAGCCGCCAGAGTGCAGCACCTATGCAAATCACAATTGCACCATTTGCCAGCAACTCCAGGGATTGAGTCGTATCCCACGCCAGTTTTGAACCAATGCACCTGCACATACGGCGCTGGAGTGCATGCTGCATAGTGGTCGTCCCTCCTTTTTCCGGGCTTGTTCAAATCACTTCGCCACTTCGGCTCCAGTGACCGCATCGAGCGGGACATCGACTCGGGATGGCGAAGCGTCCGGCGGCCGCAGACGCGGCGGCCGCCAAGAAGCCGAAGACGGGGGATGACCCGCTGGAGGTCAGAGAGCAGGTCATCGCGTCCGGAAATCTGATCACACCCACTTCCTCGGGCCCGCAGTGCTGGACGCTGGTGGCACCTGGGGAGGGCCAGTTTGAGGGCGCTGAGCCGGTGGAGCTGATGTACTTCTGCATCCGTGGGCTGGGTGTCCGCTCTCAGCTGTGTTTGGAGGTCGCGGGGTATCCCTACGTTTGCAAGGTGATGACCTCGCCGTACTTCCGCGAGAATGTGAAGACCACTTTGCCCTTCGGCATGATGCCGCTGCTGCGGACCCCCAAGGGCACGGAGGTGGTGCAGTCCAATGCCGTGCTGCGATATGTGGCCAAGCTGTGCAAGCTTTCTGGCAAGGACGATGAGGATGCGGCTCGCTGCGATATGCTCTACGAGATGCTGCAGACCGAAGGCAAGCTAGACGCCAAGGCGTTGCCTGAAGCCCTGGCAAACTTGGCGGAGCTGGGGGAGGTGAAGCCGATGAAGGAAGTGTCCCGGCGGGAGCACCTAGGTCTTTCCATGGCGATGAAGTGCGCTCTGGCTTTGAAGTTTTGGGAGTCCACCTTGGCCTCCAGCAGCTCAGGTTGGCTCTTGGGGTCTTTGCCGGAGGGCTCTTGTGACCACTGCTTCGTGGATCTGGTGCTCTACTGGGACCTGCAGGAGCATTTGGCGCAGCTGAAGGCCGCTGGCTTCAAGTGCCTCGCAGCCTTCGTGGAGAAGGCGGCAGACCTCCCGGGCATGAAGCGGTTCCTGGCCTCTGGCCGCCTCATGCCCAAGAACGATGACACCTACAACTACGTGCCAGACTCTCTGGTGAGCTGGTGAGTCGTCGCCACCTGAGTTCCGCTTCGAAGCGCGCGGCGCGGCATTTCGGGGAGGGGGGCCAACGTAGTGTGCAGGAAAAAGAGAGGGGGTTCCCCACGTGGCAATTGTTTGCCTTGGTCAGCGAAGTGCGGGGGCAAAATAATTTCAACAACTTGGCAGGCGAAGCGCATGAAGCCCATCAAGCGCACCAAGCACTTTGAGCTCGGCACAGACTCAAAGAAAGGCCGGCACATGTGCAAAATGACACGTCTCAACCTTGATCAACTTCGGGAATCAAACCTTTGATAGCGGACTAAGCGCTGCTCAAGCTCCGGCTGCGCTTGAGGAGATTTGCTCATTTGCCGTGAGCTGCGTTTGTTGTTCATGATCAGTTCCAAAGTGGTAGTTTGTATACTACGGCGCTACGTGGCTGACCCCACGTGCATTGACAATTTCACCTCCATCTGACTAGAGTACCCAAGTCTTTTTGGCCAGCTTTAATAACAAGACGGATCCGCTTCTTTGCGCAGGCAAGAACGAGTACGGCAGCAAGTACCGCTGAGCGGACATTGGCCTGGCGCAGCTACGGAGAAACGTGTTTGGCCGACCTGCGCGTGTGTTCTGTGTGCGCGCGCGTGTGTGTGTGTGTGTGTGTTGTGTGTCTGTGTGTGTTGTGTGTGTGTGTGTGTTGTGTGTGTGGGTGGGTGGGTGCATGCGTGCATGCGTGCATGCGTGCGTGCGTGCGTGCGCGCGTGCGTGCCGTGCGCGCGTGCATGGTTGATGCCGTGAGCAGAACAGGAACCACGGGTTCGTGGAGCACACGTGGGGACCTCCAAAGTACGCACAAGAAGCCAGGGTCTTCACCTACCCCCGCACCAAAAAAGAGCGACATAAACAGAAAACAAAGCAACAAGAACAGCTCGTCGTATGCCGCCGCCTTGACAGTGTGCAGTGACACCGTCATTCAACTTTGGATTTGGATAGTAATGTGTTCCTGCCTTTCTGTACAGTATGCTGGCAAGGTTGCGTCACGCTGACCCTGAAGTTTGTTAAAACTGCAGCATCGTCACGGTGACTGCAGCAAATGGATACTCATCGGCATGGATCACAGGGTTGCGGAGCATCTCATGATGCGTGTGCTCTATTTATCAGCCCACACACATGTCAGCTTATTTCCTCTTGGCCTGGAGTGGCGATTGGGTTCGTCAACCCGCCGTTCGCGTTGGAACCAAATGGGTAGGTACCTGAGAAGTGTGAGAGCAATTGCCCAGCACAATGCAACAGTTGAGAGCATTGCTCGCATCCATGTTTTGGTCACCCTGAACATGGCTTGTGCCAATGTTTGCAAGCTGCTTTGAGAACGAAAGATGCTTGGCCATTTGCGTGATCATGCCATGAGTTGTGGGCTCCCTTTTCGCCTAGAGGAAGTGTGAACATACCCAGATAGCAACATGTGCTTACTTTTTGGCGGCTGGATTCAGGTTCATGAGCTTCTTGCTATGCGCACACGTGCTTCCCTGTGGGGCATGAGAAGGCTCGCATGGTCAACACGGACTCCGGCACATGGCTCAAGGAATCCGCACGGCCCGCGAGATCCAGCAGGTGGGGAATGTAAAAGGGCTTTTGGTTCACCTCTTTCCCCTTAAGGAAGAGGCTCTGCCTGTGTCTCCAGTTGATGCTTCTTTGGACTGCTTGACCCACGTAGTCTCGCCACACAAGACAACAACCTCCAAATTGCGGCCGCTTTTCACTCCAACTTGTGCCGTCCCGTTCTAGGTCCAACAATACGAACTGACTAGCCTGAGTGAATTGGCAAGAGAGAGAGAGAGAGAGAGCGAGACTCTCCAGCCGAGTGAAAGCACCCAAGGGCCTGCGAAGCCTTGTAGCTCAGCCGTTCCGATGTTGCGGCCCTTCCAACTTTTGCCCGAAGTCCTCTGGGGGCTGGCAATGGGCAATTGCGTCTCACCGCTCAGGAGTCATGGTCAACATCCCGAAGACGCGGAACACCTACTGCAGGAAGTGCAGGAAGCACACTGGCCACAAGGCAAGCATTGAGGGTTGTTTCTGATGTGTGGCTTGTTCTGGGTGCAAAGTCTTGTGACAAAACCGGGCAATTTCGGTTGTAGGCTGGCTTTTCTTGAGGGTCCCCTTTGTCATCTCATGGCAACGGTCATGAGGACTGCAGATATTCCTGACTTTGTGGGAGGTGTTTGCCTCATTCACCCAGATGTAGATAGACGACAGAGCATGTTTCCACAGGGCGGCCTTCAATTTTCACTGGAGGCATGTTGCTTGAAGACAGATTCTGTGTGGGAGGATATCCGCTGGGGGGTTCTGCGCAGTTTCTTCCGCCAGGTGTCTCAGTACAAGACGGGCAAAGCCTCCTTGAGCGCGCAGGGCAAGAGGCGATACGACAAGAAGCAGGCCGCACCGTTCGACCCGTGCCCGATTCGGGGCCCAGCGGATAGAAGTGTTCCTCAACCAGACACGGTACCTCATGACTCAATGCTGTCTTGTTTTCAGATGACACCTCCATACGTTTTTAATTGCTGGTTTGGTTCGAGACTTGCCTTTTAAGCGTGTTTCCCTATGAGCACAATCCAGCTTTGTTTCATCCACCAAGTGACAAGACGGGCACGCACACAAAGGCTACCGGCCGCTTTTCTTGCTCGTCTTCCTGCACATTGATATGAGCAACTGACAAATCTTCTGGTTGTCATGATCCCAATTTGCTCGCAACAACAAGGTGGAGCCCACCCAATTTCCCCATGTATTTGTTGTCCGGGGCTTGGATGTGAATTCAACCTTTGCTACCGTCGGATGCGTCCCGCCGCATATCGTTTTGTATTATCGCCAGCTCTCTTGGCTGCTTATACATGCACAGCATGCCCAGTGACAGGGGGGAGAGAGAGACAACGACTGCTTGAGGGCATACGGAACACAGTTTGATATTGTCAAGCATAGGAAATTGCATTCATCCCATTGACTTGGATCAACAAGAAGTTGGCTGCCAGCAAGCTCAAAACCAAGCAGCCGGAACCAACCAATTGAGTGCTTCCCAACACAAAGAGATCGACCCAACTAGGCAAGTCTGGGCACCTCGCCGATGGACACTGGCTGACACGGATGTCAAAAGAAGGGCTCGCCGGTTGGGTTTGTGTCTTTTTTTTGGGGGGGGCACCTCATGTTTGGTGGTTTTTGAAGGGAAGCCACCAGACCAGGAAACTCCACGACTTCTAGGAGACTTTGGGGGTCTAGGAGTAAAAATTCAATCCGGTTTCCCCCAGACCAATCCAAGCACCCCACGCCTCCATCGAAGCTCCATTCGATTCGCCATGCGCTAGGCGGGCTTCGGAGGCCAGACGAAGCCGGTCTTCCACAAGAAGGCGGAAGCCGAGCTGAGAGACGCAGGATTGATTTGGTTTGTCAAGGGATGACCCCCTAGTTCCTGTCGAGCAGGGAACGACCTTTTTCCAAAGATCCAAACCACCAATCCAGATCACTGCCCTTAGGCTGTTTGGACTGAGAGGCATGTTTTTGCACATGGGCGAAGACTTGTGTTGAGACATCCCTGCCATTTTCCTGGTATCAAATTTTCATTTGGGGGAGTGCCTGTCACTTCCACAGGGGCTGACTCACCATGCTTGAGCCACGTTCTTTTGTGATCAAGTCAGCCCCACCACCCCGTTTCCATCCTTCTGGTCCTGAGACCACTCCTCACATTCTGTGCTGCAAGGTTTGTACGAAGGCTTCCGGCAATTGTTTGTTAGGCAAAGACTACCAAGAAGATCGTGCTGAAGTTCGAGTGCACCAAGTGCAAGGCGATTGTCTTAGCTTGACCCCGAGGTTGTGAACTCGTTGACCTCGGGACCCCCCAAAAAGGAACACAGGCCCTCCGATGTTTGGCAAAGCTCCAGGAGCACAGAGTTGGGATGGGACGAGTCTTTGTCCGAACAAATGAGACCCTTCCGATAGGTTGGCTTTCTTCGGGTTTTCCGGGTTTGCCTTTCGGCTTCATTTTTGGTCGCTTTTCCTTTGGTTTTCCTTGGTTTCTGTTTGAAGCAGGAAACAGGCATCCCGGGTACGGTGCTCCCAAACATAGCGCGCACGTGTGTTACAAAATTACCACGTGACATGTCAGGTGTTGGTTTCATGGGGTTGGGGATGCAGTGGATCGATTTTCGCGATTTGGGGAGGCACCAGGTAGCCTGTCGAAAGTCGAGAGTTTGCCAGTCCGTGGACTTCCATGTTAGTCGGTGGGAGCTATTCGCATCTCGGAGTGCGAGGGCGGTAAACCGCCGTCTTTCTTTGCCATTCAATTGCCGCATGTTTCAATCACTGAGTTTGGAAAGATATTTGATAAGGAGTGCGGAGTGGCCTAGCTTAGCCTGGCTTTGGTAGTGTACGTGATCTTGCCTGCGGCTTGTAGGGATGCTGCAGATTCATGCTGTAGACTACGGCACATATATATGAGCCACGGACAAAACACACGAAGACCACTTTATCAAGGCGGGGTATGTTTTTGCATAACACATGCAAAAACCATGCAAAACGATAAGGTCTCCCCCAAAAACGATAACCCTTAGCTAACACACGGCTCTACAATAACCCCTGCAGTTGCAACTTAGCTAGGGTGGGACCCTTGCGTGGCCACCGTAAAACGAGAAGGCGAGTCGCCACTTTCGAGCTGGAGCTGCCAAGGTGTGCTTCGTAAATACGACACTTGTACTGAGAAGTTGCGATTTTCGAGCTGGAGCTGCGGAAGTGTACTTCGCGTACTAGACTTGTACTACAAAGTTGCGATTTTCGAGCGGGAGATGCGGAAGTGTACTTCGCGTACTAGACTTGTGCTACAAAGTTGCGATTTTCGAGCTGGAGCTGCGGAACTGTACTTCGCGTACTAGACTTGTACTACAAAGTTGCGATTTTCGAGCGGGAGATGCGGAAGTGTACTTCGCGTACTAGACTTGTACTACAAAGTTGCGATTTTCGAGCTGGAGCTGCGGAAGTGTACTTCGTGTACTAGACTTGTACTACAAAGTTGCGATTTTCGAGCTGGAGCTGCGGAAGTGTACTTCCGTACTAGACTTGTACTACAAAGTTTCGATTTTCGAGCTGGAGCTGCGGAAGTGTACTTTGCGTACTAGACTTGTACTACAAAGTTGCGATTTTCGAGCTGGAGCTGCGGAAGTGTACTTCCCGTACTAGACTTGTACTACAAAGTTGCGATTTTCGAGCTGGAGCTGCGGAAGTTTACTTCGCGTACTAGACTTGTACACAAAGTTCGATTTTCGAGCTGGAGATGCGGAAGTGTACTTCTCGTACTAGACTTGTACTACAAAGTTGCGATTTTCGAGCTGGAGCTGCGGAAGTGTACTTCGCGTACTAGACTTGTACTACAAAATTGCGATTTTCGAGCTGGAGCTGCGGAAGTGTACTTCGCGTACTAGAATTGTACTACAAAGTTGCGATTTTCGAGCTGGAGCTGCGGAAGTGTACTTTGCGTACTAGACTTGTACTGCAAAGTTGCAATTTTCGAGCTGGAGATGCGGAAGTGTACTTCGCGTACTAGACTTGTACTACAAAGTTGCGATTTTCGAGCTGGAGATGTGGAAGTGTACTTCGCTTACTAGACTTGTACTACAAAGTTTCGATTTTCGAGCTGGAATTCCGGAAGTGTACTTCGCGTACTAGACTTGTACTACAAAGTTGCGATTTTCGAGCTGGAGATGCGGAAGTGTACTTCTCGTACTAGACTTGTACTACAAAGTTGCGATTTTCGAGCTGGAGATGCGGAAGTTTACTTCGCGTACTAGACTTGTACTACAAAGTTGCGAGTTTCGAGCTGGAGCTGCGGAAGTTTACTTCGCGTACTACACTTGTACTACAAAGTTGCGATTTTCGAGCTGGAGCGCTGTGGAAGTGTACTTCGTGTACTAGACTTGTACTACAAAGTTGCGATTTTCGAGCTGGAGCTGCGGAAGTTTACTTCGCGTACTAGACTTGTACTACAAAGTTGCGACTTTCGAGCTGGAGCTGCGGAAGTGTACTTCCGTACTAGACTTGTACTACAAAGTTGCGATTTTCGAGCTGGAGCTGCGGAAGTGTACTTTGCGTACTAGACTTGTACTACAAAGTTGCGATTTTCGAGCTGGAGATGCGGAAGTGTACTTCGCTTACTAGACTTGTACTACAAAGTTGCGAGTTTCGAGCTGGAGATGTGGAAGTCTACTTCGCTTACCAGACCTGTACTACAAAGTTTCGATTTTCGAGCTGGAATTCCGGAAGTGTACTTCGCGTACTAGACTTGTACTACAAAGTTGCGATTTTCGAGTTGGAGCTGCGGAAGCTTAGTTGCGACTTTCGAGCTGGAGCTGCGGAAGTGTACTTCGTGTACTAGACTTGTACTACAAAGTCGCGATTTTCAATCTGGAGCGCTGTGGAAGTGTACTTCCTGTACTAGACTTCTACTACAAAGTCGCGATTTTCAAGCTGGAGCGCTGTGGAAGTGTACTTCTTGTACTAGACGACTACTACAAACCAGCACCCCCCAATGGCTGGCCAATTGCCGGCACATCGATTTTGGGCAAAACGATGTCACTTTATGTCTAAGTGACTGCAAAAACATTTTGCTATCAATTATCACTCATCTGTACTTAGTGCAATTTGTGCAATGATACAAGTGACCTTTCAGGGTCCTTTGGAATGGGGTTGCAGGGGAAAGGGGAGAGCAGCAAATTTGAGGTTTGGAGGGCAAGTTTGAGGTTGGGAGGGGTTCTTGAGGAGCGTGTCACGGCGTGTCACGGCGTGTCACGGCGTGTCGGGGGGTGGCCAATTGCCGGCACATGTACGTTGAACGGTCACTTTTTTGGGATATGAGCGTGTCACCAGCGTGTCGCCCCCCCTCCCCCCCCGCGCGTTGCACGTGCAATGATCATACATGCCAGCCCAACCCCTCAATTGGATCCCCTCTAGTATCCGGAAGTGACGTTTCAACAAAAGTGACTTTCCACTGCACTTTGATGATGGCAAAAAAACCATGTGACTACAAAACCATTTTTAAGCAAGTGCTGGTCAATTGCCGGCACGCCAATTACCGGCCATTGGGGGGGCCTGGAAGTTGCGATTTTCGAGCTGGAGCTGCGGAAGTTTACTTCGCGTACTAGACTTGTACTACAAAGTTGCGACTTTCGAGCTGGAGCTGCGGAAGTGTACTTTGCGTACTACACTTGTACTACAAAGTTGCGATTTTCGAGCTGGAGCTGCGGAAGTGTACTTTGCGTACTAGACTTGTACTGCAAAGTTGCGATTTTCGAGCTGGAGATGCGGAAGTGTACTTCGCTTACTAGACTTGTACTACAAAGTTGCGATTTTCGAGCTGGAGATGTGGAAGTGTACTTCGCTTACTAGACTTGTACTACAAAGTTTCGATTTTCGAGCTGGAATTCCGGAAGTGTACTTCGCGTACTAGACTTGTACTACAAAGTTGCGATTTTCGAGCTGGAGATGCGGAAGTGTACTTCGCGTACTAGACTTGTACTACAATGTTGCGATTTTCGAGCTGGAGATGCGGAAGTGTACTTCGCGTACTAGACTTGTACTACAAAGTTGCGATTTTCGAGTCGGATCTGCTAAAGTTCGAAAACATTGTAAAACGATAAGGTCTCCCCCAAAAACGATAGCGTTCAAAAAAGTACTAGGGCCAAGTAAAGTGTTTCGTCCGCTCCTCATATATATATACTATATATATACATATATATTGTGGCTCATTTTCGTGATTTGGGCCTGTGTCTTTGTTTTTGTGTTTGTGAATGCCACTGAACAATTTAGAGTTCCACAAGCGGTGTCGTGGCCGTGCTGTTCTCTCCCATGGGTGGTGTCCCAGGACCAGTGTTGACATTGTTACGGGTTCAGTTCATTCGGAGGCAAACCTTGGGGCATTTCTATAGGCGTGAGCCAAAATGGGCGGCATGTCAGCAGTCATTCAAGCTTGTTTGTGGGCGGCTTCGCAAGTGTGTGACTGCCTCGCAATGGAGGCAAAGCGAATGAAGCCCATCAAGCGCACCAAGCATTTCGAGCTCGGCACGGATTCAAAGAAAGGCCTGGGTCGTTCAAGGGTACATGCAGGGCCCTTTCAACAAATCACTCGAAGGCGACTTGAGTTGGGGGATGTCCATTGTGAAGCAGGTGGGTTTTGGATGAATCCTTGAAGGAACCCTGTTGAAACTTGCAAGGGTCATCCCGAGATTGTTTGGCGAAAGTCCGAGGAGAGAAAATTCACTGGTAGCCGGTGGGGCGGGGGGTGGATTGGGAGGACAAAGAACAACGTTGAACTTGCTGCAAGAGTGGGGTTGGAGCTGTGGGGGTCCTGTTTACAACGTCGTATCGAATTGGAATCAATCACTGTTGCCTGTGTCCAGGTAAGAACGAGTATGGCAGCAAGTACCGCTGAGACAACGGCTGCCGCAGGATTCCACGGATGCGAGTTGAAAACGGGTGGAGTGCTCACAGACACTATTGGCACTAGCGCGAGCCATGTGTTTGGTGAATTTGAGTTTTTGTTGATTCAATGGCCCGGGCAAGGGAAAGCCCTTTTCTTTTGCCTCAGAGTCTCCCTGGTTGCCTGCGCAATTTTCCAGACCAGACTCTCCGCCAGCTGAACTGCTCGAAACTCCCGTCCATGCGTCATGCTGTGGTCGCAAGATTATGTCTCAAGTCAACATGCACGCAGCAGGACGCATTTGGCTAAGTGATGCACTGCCACGAACGCAACCAAAACGCCCCTGTCGCAGCAGGGGCTTTTGTAGCTCTCCTGGCTCTCCGGAGACCCGGACGACGGATTTCAGAATGCAGCTGACAGGGGCTCAGAAGCAGGGGGCCTGAGAACGCGTTGAGTGCGCAGCCAGTTGAACTTTGTTGGGGACGTGCTCCTAGTTTTGCCACCTACGCATGAAGGTAGGCAAGGGTGTTGCAAAGATGAGACCCAGTTGCAAAAAGAAGCAAGGTCAGCTGCTACATAGACAAGAGCTGGCTTTTCAGGCGGAGGTCGAGTCTCCCCTGGTATTTGATTTGCCAGCTTTTGCTGCTGCTACAGTCCGGGTGGCCATTTGTTGTTCCTGGAGTATTGACCCCCGGGTAAATCATTGGTTTTGGAGTTGCTCTAGGGGTTCTTATTACAGGATAGTCTTAGGTTCGATTGAGGGTTGGCACCTTGCCGGCTCGTGCAACAGCTTTGACCACTTCGGAACTGTGCTCCCGCTGTGGCAAGGGTGGATGTGCAGCCCCCGGACTACTTCTGCAGCTTCTTTTGTATAAGCAAATGTGTCAACATGAAAACATTTCTATGCCTATGTGCATATCTTTGGGAAAAGGAGTGTTGCAAGCGTAGAGTGGACGTAGCTGGCAACAATCTACAACTTGCAAGTTGCGTGATGAGCAGCGAAGACCTGTACACTTGCCCACATTGCCCACATTGCCCACATTGCCCACATTGCCCACCCGGCATGACTGAAGCCTCAGCCCCCAAAGAAGCGCGGGATCTGAGGCAGGGGCTCATCCGGGCCTTCATTGAGGCAAACCTGTTGGAAGGCAGCACAGGCAGGGGGTCGGGGGATGGGATGGGTGGGTGGGGGGGGGGGATTGGGATTGGTGGGGAGGTGGATGGAGGTGGATGGAGGTGGATGGAGGAACTGTCGATATGGTGCGGTCAGAATGTGGTTTGTAGCTGGGGTATGTTGGCCAACGCGGAAGGATTGCGAACAGCTCGTCTGATGCGGCCGATGGCAGCCTTTGCTAAACGTCCTTCAGATGGAGCGATGGCCGAACCACGTGGCACGAGCACATTAGAGACTAACGCGGTCGGCGCATGCATTTTTTGCAGTAGGGCGCAACCGCCCGAACAAGCTTAGAGGGAAGCGAGTTGCCCTTCTTGGACAATCTCTCGCCTGATGAATCTGGATTGAGCTTTTGTCAATTTGTCAATGCACCCAGTTTCAGCGAGAAGGGGTATTAGCGTATTAGAAGCTCCCATGACTTCTTAGTGACGAGGTTTCCTGGGAGTCTTTGCACGGGCTGGGATCCGCTCGGATCCCTAGGCTTCTGTGCACCGGAGCCAGGGGCCCAGGCAGGATGCGACCATTGCCCCCCAGCGCTTTTGCAGTCGGACGGTTTGCAGAGGTCAAACCATGAAATTGTTTGGACCGTAGCTGGGCGAAATGGCTGTGTGTTTAAACAGTGGACCAAGGTGGGCAGTTTACAGGAGCATCTTCGATGACATCGAGGCAGGAATATGAAGCCTTCAGTTTGCTGGTTCGATTGGCAGGGAATGAAAATTGGAATGACCCCCATAAACCTTCCAACTGGTGGTTCCTTTAAGGGAATCCCCTTCCGGTTCAATCCCAAACCCTGGATCATTCCCTACAGAGCACCAGCAAGCATTTCTTAGTCTTTGAGTTGTGCCGGATGATGTGTCTTGTTGATCCAAATGTCAGACATATCATTTTTCGCGCGCTTGTTTGCGATGAACGAATCAAGTGATTCATGGCCTATATCCAAGGGCACAGTGAGGTCCATGACTGCGAATCCGGGAAGCCCCAGTTTTCGAGTGAAGGCCGTCCTTGTTTGGGTGCCATCGGCGAGAGCAACACTCGGAATCAAGGAAGCTCAAGAGCAACACCAGTAGTGAACACCATCATCTCTCCCCCAACGACTGCCTTTTCCTGGGTTCAAAAGCCCTAAGGCTTGGAATGGCAACAGCACCATGCGGCCAACGCACCTCAACCTGTGCCAAAACAAGAATCTTTGGGGGGGGGGGGGGGCTGGTGCGTGTTTCAAGTCTTGGCGCTGGTTTCGCCCTGGCCAGGCAGCGCTGCGGGCGTTGAAGACGGCCCAGTGCGAGGGGCGTGCCCAGGCGCGGAAGATGTACCACTTGCGACCTGAAGTATTACCCTCCCACCAACATGGAAGCGCACAACTTGCCCCTTTCCAAGAGGAAAAAGTAGGCTTTCCGCGGGGGTCCGTGGACTTCCATGTTAGTCGGTGGGAGCTATTCGCATCTCGGAGTGCGAGGGCGGTAAACCGCCGTCTTTCTTTGCCATTCAATTGCCACATGTTTCAATCACTGAGTTTGGAAAGATATTTGATAAGGAGTGCGGAGTGGCCTAGCTTAGCCTGGCTTTGGTAGTGTACGTGATCTTGCCTGCGGCTTGTAGGGATGCTGCAGATTCATGCTGTAGACTACGGCACATATATATATATATACTATATATATATATACATATATTGTGGCTCATTTTCGTGATTTGGGCCTGTGTCTTTGTTTTTGTGTTTGTGAATGCCACTGAACAATTTAGAGCAAGCTGACCTAGGAGCTCACCCATCAATGTTGAGCTTCCTTACGTGGGGATTGATTGTTTCAGGTTTGTGAACAATCAACTTGCCCAGATGCCTTGAGTGCGGTTGTGGTGCTTGTCCCGGATCATTTTTCCCTTCCAAATACGGGCCCAACACATGCAATCATACTTTTGCTGCTTTCCTGCTTGAACCCATAAGCCGCTTTCCTGCATGGCTTGAATGCTCATCTTCTCCCGCCTTTCCCGTCTTGACATTTGCTGTTCCGACTTGGATTTTTGTTTTCGTGGAAAGGTCGTATCTTAGTCTTGGGAAAAAGCAAGGCTCGTTGCAGAGCCTGCAAGACATAAATTGCTGAACTATCTTGGAATCAGTCGGTAGCTGGTCCACCTTGCAAAGTTGCTTTTGACATTCGATTGATCTTTACTCAGCACGAAAGGCCCACCCCAGCCCACCCCAGCCCAGCCCATTCCAGCCCATTCCAGCCCACCCCAAGCCCACCCCAGCCCACCCCAGCCCAGCCCATTCCAGCCCACCCAGCCCACCAACCCGCCCCCAACCCGCCCCAACCCGCCCCAACCCGCCCCAACCCGCCCCAACCCGCCCCAACCCGACCCCGCCCCAACCCCGCCCCAACCAGCCCGCCCCGACCCCAACCCGCCCCAACCCGCCGTGAGTGAGTGAGTGAGTGAGTGAGTGAGTGAGTGAGTGAGTGAGTGAGAGAGTGAGTGAGTGAGTGAGTGAGTGAGTGAGTGAGTGAGTGAGTGAGTGAGTGAGTGAGTGAGTGAGTGAGTGAGTGAGTGAGTGAGTGAGTGAGTGAGTGAGTGAGTGAGTGAGTGAGTGAGTGAGGGAGGTGAGTGAGTGAGTGAGTGAGTGAGTGAGTGAGTGAGTGAGTGAGTGAGTGAGTGAGTGAGTGAGTGAGTGAGTGAGTGAGTGAGTGAGTGAGTGAGAGAGAGAGAGAGTGAGTGAGTGAGTGAGTGAGTGAGTGAGTGAGTGAGTGAGTGAGTGAGTGAGTGAGTGAGTAATTGAGTGAGTGAGTGAGTGAGTGAGAGAGAGAGAGAGTGAGTGAGTGAGTGAGTGAGTGAGAGAGAGAGAGAGTGAGTGAGTGAGTGAGTGAGTGAGTGAGTGAGTGAGTGAGCGAGTCAGTGACTCAGTGACTCAGTGAGTCAGTCTTGGTGAGTCAGTGAAGCGAGCGGGGGATTAGATGCATTTAGGCGGCAACGCCAACTAAGGCGGTTTCATGGACGGAAGGAGGGCGGCGCAAACATGGGGTCAGCGCGTAAAAGGCAACGCGTGCGTCGAATGTCATCCATGTCAAGCCTGCAAGTTCTGTGCGTAGCAGCCGCATGGCTGCCCAGATTTGTTTCATAGCTCGCGCTTTCTGTGCGTCGCATGTCAGTCATGGCATTGGCAGGAGCTGCGCGGCTCAATATGGCTGTCAAGACCGCCCGCCCGGCTTGGGCAGCACATTCACGATCCTGGAGGGTCATCAACTCCTGGGCAGAGAGGAATTCCTCTGACTGTGCTGCGAAGAATTTATTATAAACTTGGATTGGGAAACCCGCCTGGCACGGTCCAAGAAGCCAGTGGCTCGGCAAGAGAAACACCGAGCGAGCTGGCAGCGGCACATACCATGGCTCAGCGCCAACAAAGCACCTAGAGAGTCCAATGCGACTGAGGTGCTGAACAGGTCGGTTCACCATCTGGCGAACCGTCTGGATATGGAGATTGTGCTGGGTACCGTGCTGTTCGGATAGATTCGAGTATGGCTCGGAAGCACCTAAAAAGGCGTTCACGGAGCATGGTTGGGAAGTAGTAAGTGCGAACAGTAGGAACATATCTGAGGAATATGGGGGGGGGGTGCCGAAACCCACCCACCACACCCACCCACCACACCCGCCAGGGGGGGGTGCCGAAATACGACCAGAGGTCAGAGAGAGTAATGGCAGGCCGATTGTAAGCACAAGACTTACACTAAAGCCGTTGATGCTGTCGAGCTGCGACGCAAGCGTCTTTGTTTGATGTTTTCGACTTTTGGCCCACCACCCACCCACCCGCCCTACCCCCGACACCCCCCAACCCACACACCCCCACCCCACCCACCCACCGCCCCACCCACCCCCACCCACCCACCCCCGCCC